TAACTGATATGAGATCACACTTAAGTACCACAGTGCCTGAACAAAATATTCTTCTCACATTAAGTTTGATTTATTTATGCAAATAATTATAAACTACTTAATTTCATAGATAGTAGCTATGTTCAATTTGAGGCATTATGTATGATTCTCCGTGAATTAATGTAACTCATTCTGCTAACAAAAGTCTTATCTTGCATATATATAGTCTTTGAAAATTCGTCAACGATAACTTTCACGAATGCAAGTGATTGCCTGGCACGTCTGAGGAAACAGAACTTTGTGTAATAGTACTTTGTGCAACAATTTTTTCAATAAAACGTTTTGATAGGGATGATAAGAAGTAAACAAAATGGTGCAGAAATGATAAATACAAGCAGCAAAATGAAGTACAGTCACACGAAGGATAGGAAGTAACTTAGACTTAGAAATCTTGGTAAAAGTAGAAGGTGAACCGTTGATATAAGAATAAAACTTGTGCACTGTGGCACAGCATAATTCCATTATGGGTAAAAATTTATTTTGATAAAGTCTCACAGTGTTATCAAATCAAGGTGATATGATTATGAGAAATAAATTGTACTCGAAAACATCATCAGTAAATGTTACACTGTGAGGCCTTATCAAAATAAATTTCACCCATAATGGAACAAAGTGAACCGGTTGTTTACTTGGGTCTTTCATTAAATTAGTGTCATTAATCACGAAGGACAGGATACTTGAAATTATCTAGTGCCTGGTGTCTAATCAGAGATCTTAAAGTTATTGCATTGGTGTGCATCAGAACTGAATAAATAGTATTACTGGACGATAATTGTACATACTACTCACAACATACTTACAAGTGAAACCGGAATACATGCGCCTTCATTTCATTACTGTAGAGATTTTTATGTATTCTTCCTTGAAATATGTTTTCCATAACTGTAAAAAACATAAACATGACACATCTCATTTCCTTTACAGATACTGAGTACAGAGGCTGATTGGCTACAGTTACCACAGAATCATCCACTCAAACGTGAATTGTACAATTTGCTAACTACCTCGAAACGAAATTTGAAATGGCTAAACACTCACCTTCACACAATTGTACAATGGTTGAAACAAAATATTCCTCATACAGCACAAGAGGTCTAGAAATGTTACTCAATGTGGAGAAAATCGTCTCTGATTCCTACTCGAACTATATAACATGAATTTTTTCTATTACCACCCTTGATGCCCATAATATCTCTTCATTAATTTTTCATTTGAGTTTCATGAGTCTTTATATTTTCATATTTCACTAGTGATATTTCCCCGTGAACGCTGTAACAATTCAAAAGCTTTAATTCACGTGTTTCTCCTGATTAAATATTCGAGGTGCAATTCCTTTCTGTTTTGTGTTAGCTAACAGATACCCGTTCGATATTGAATGAATTTGAGTTTGTTAGAAAGAGAAAGGCTCACTCTTGCAATTCACTTGTAATCGAAATGCTTGAAAACTGTCCCAACCTCGTATTTTCGGTTATGCATTGTAAGAAATGGTGTGGTGTAAGGTCAGCAGTAGGGATACATGTTGTTACAGAAAGATGACGTGAGAGGAAATAAGCGAAAATATTAACAGAGGGTTTATATGTTAATTTGATAGAAAAAGGAGTTAAAGAAACGGTCCTCATGATAAGATGCATAAAATAATTGTGATTGTGAACAAATTAGAACGAATTCCTTCAAAATATTTTTCATAGTAGGTATGTTTCTTCAAGTGAATTGAAGAGAAGAGGGGCAGGGAATGAATTGTATGTTACCAGTCCTAGCATAATTTAGCAATTGTCGGTGACTTATTGGTAGGAAAATGGCCAACCACGGAAGTGGTTCGGGACTCGATCCCCGGCCGACAAGGCACTCGCAAGCCTCGCTTAGCTGGTAATAAGCCTGGCAAAGATGGAACGTTGGGCATGAGACTGGCAAACCTACCCCGCAAAAATAAACACAAGTGCTACTGAAATGTCAAAGTTCTATCTTGAAGCCCTATGTTCCACTGGGAACACAAAGCGATGAAATAAATAATAAAATTATAAGTATCCTTTAGCGTTAAGCTAACCATCAGCTATTTTCTCAAGATTCTTCACTAATCACTCCATGAATTCATAAAACTATGTGTACCGACAAACTCTCCTCTAAATGGATGCTGCAAAAAGGTTCATCGAGACATGTGAGATGCGAGAGATCGTTTCCCTCCAGAAATATGGCCTTAAGTAGGGATTACTTACCTCTGACGTGTATACGTGTAACTGACAGAGCAACAGCCACACACAGAGTGAAAACAGGACTCCAGCTGAGCAGAGAACGTACATTCATCACAATATCAAATTTTAGGGTGAGCCTTGCACTGCACTAGTATTTGTCGCTTTTGTTATTGTTAAGATCTTAAAACTGTTCTACTTCTTGTATCAGATAATTATGTCCACAATCTCTCCCTCGAGGAGAGAAAACGAAACATCAGTTAGTATTTATGTATGCAGGTGTGAAATAATTATTTGTAATAGTAGTATTTTGCAATGACCGAATTACAGGAAATCAACCGACAACACAGAGTGGATGAATTTAGGAATTCGTATTTGCCAGAATAATTTGTAATTCACATAACAAATATTAACAAACAACAGTAAGTATTTAAACAACACAGTAATTAAAATTGTCAATCACCAGAAATCTTAGTTTCGTTACACATGTATGAGGTGACACATTTGCATAATTTCTGTGGAACAGCACGCATAACTGACAGGAACGTGACATGTGGATAGGTTGTCCTATGTTCATGGAAGTCAGCTTCGGCTTATGGAAACCATGTTTCTCTATTGTATGGCGGATGTTTCATGAGCTGAACTGGTATGTTAGTCAGTATGTTGTAGTGACCCATTTTATTGCCCATCATCGTAGTACACTTTCACTATGTAATTGGACTTTGATTTGTTTATCACTCTAAAGATTGCGTGTTAACAACTGATACGCTGTACTCGCTCATCTTTTGAATTTTGATTACGGCGATAATAAACGTTCGTACTCCTTCTCAAGTGCCTTTTGATTTACGTTGTGGATGTCGAGTAGTCACAACGTTAGGACACAATAATAAACACGAAGAAGTACTAGGATATAAGTGTACGCTAGTTTGGTCAAATAGAGCACCACAACAATGTGACGTATTCTTTTTGACGTCTGGTCATACATGTAAACAACGGTTTAAATGGAGTGAACCTATTGGAAATGAACAATTACAAAATGGTACAAACTCATAGAAATGAAGTGAAAGTTGGTGACAGCCTTACCAGTTTGAAGGAGGAAGGTGTCAACGACAAGATGGGATGCTCAACCAGTCGACTTATACAATGAAGGTCTGAAGTCAGTGTTGGATGACGAGGCTGTCTAGCAGTAATTTTGGAGAACTGTATACCACTGCAACAAGAAATATTCCCTAGACACTAAGGGAATATTAAATTACTATCTAACTACATTCTGTATCATTGAAATCAAAATCAAGTTCAATTCAAAATCTCTCTGAAGTGTATAAGGAATATTGATTTGTTTTTGCAATATATTGTTAGCCATTCGTTGCATTCCGAGTGGAGCATAGGACCTCAACAGCACAGTCGTTTTGCACTTGGTTATCTGCCATCGCTTTCAACCGTCTCTATGACTGCCCAAAGACTTTAATTCTCTCTATATTTAATTTTCTTGTCGACTACTCAAAGGTGCACTGCTCACTTGGATTCCTCTTAACGACCTAGCGTGTTATGTATATATTTATACATATTCCCTCAATATCATGCAAAGGGACTTCGCATACGTCATCTGTACATATCTGAATCATTGGCTATTCGAGATGTGAAACCGGACCTCTGAATACAAAAGCGATACATAAATTCACCCACCCTACCTCGGCCAGAGTAGCGTTCTTACTATAATTTTGCTTCTTTTTTATTTAGTAAGTTCACTACTATTGTTGATCTGATGCTCACTAGCGACTGGTCCTATTCAGGTAGGTAGCTACTTGGGGTTCTAGTGGGAAGCCATGACCAGTAGGGAACAACATGTTGAAGATGAGGCAGTAACTTATCGAAGAAGACATTGCAAAGTGGTCGCGCTATGTCGTGAATTGGCAGAAGTAAGAATTCATGGACTGGTCATTGGATCGGGTCCCAGTGGCTGATGAATGGTCTACGAGCTCGCTGGCCTTGTAACCAGGAGGTCCTGGGTTCGAACCCTGGTAGTGGCGTACTGATGAAGAGTCACAAACTAGGACGAAACTCTCAGGTTTTCTAATATGGTTCTCTAACTGACGTGTCAGCTCATAATGAAATCCTTCATGCAAACAAACAAAACCAATACTTACAAAAAAGAAGAGAAATTGAAGATTCTTTTGACAAATAAGTTTATTTATATTTGTGATATTAGTAGTGTATTGTTCTTTTTAAAACAGAATATATAATTTTATAAACAGTAAGTACTGCTTTTCTTTCATAGTCTGGAGAAAAATGTGTGTATAAATAAAAACAAAATCATAGTTGTTTTCGATTGTCTTATTGAAAATGAGATACAAACTCACAAGACTGACTATAAGGATTCCCATTAAAACGAATACTGTTTTTAAAGCTACTACAAGGTTATCTTTGTATACAAATATACTCAAGTTTCTTGTTGACTACTTAATAATAATAATAGTAGTATAAGTAGTGTATATTAAAGTTGTATACCTCCTTATGACATTTCTTGCCATCTCTTGCCAATTAAATAATTTTTTGTCTAATATTCTACTTGTAAAACGATTATTTGTTTTATTCCTCTTCTTCTTCTTCTCCTTTTTCTGTTACTTGATAAGACAAAAGGTAGTCAAAGAAGAAAGCGGGATATTGGGACGAATCACACACTGATTGATTTATTGGGCGAGAGAGATAGATTTACAAATTGAAAATATATATTCTCAGTATTCATTATAATTATAATAATAATAAATTTATTCATTCCTCCGTCCAACCAACCATCTATCCACACATCCATAGATCTGTCGATCGAAAGAAATGAAAGAATCAATTTCCTACAACTGACCACTTTTAAGAAGAGGAAAAGGAAAGGGAATAGTAGATGAAGAGTATTCGTAACACATGTGTCACACTCATGGGTTTGTGTGTTGGTGAACATCCTCCCTTTCTTTTATGCTTTTCAGAGGAACTTGAACATGAAATGCATAAAAGATCAAATGCTGATGAGAATATGCTCAAAAAGAAACAGATAGTTTTTTGATGCATTCAAAATAATTTTTAGAAAAACCAAAAAGAAAAGTCACACACATCAAAATTGAGACAAAATGAAGGTAAACGACAAAATACAGTGAGTGCGTTTGTATGTGTAACACGGCTATTGCATGTTTCATATTGAAATATTATTATTAGTATTATTATTATTGGGAACACATTGACAGGGGTATCTGAACACTTGGATCTGTTTCACTGACTATCCAGTAATAATATTAATAATAATAATAGTAATAGTAGTATTAATAATTATAATAATTATAATAGTACTTTATTCTACGAACAATTATATAAATAAAACATTGTTAATATGAAAACATTTTATCAGTTAATAATAATAATAATTATTATTATTATTATAATTATTTTGATTTTCTAAAGTAAGATTGTTGTATCTGGGACATTTTCATTTAACCATTTCTTTATGACCGAGAGATAAGATTCAGTCCATTTGGTATTTTCTTTGAATCTTTTTAGTAAATCAGAGATTGCAACCCGTAGCAGATTATTTTCACGTAATTTTTGTCCAGATATCTGCATATCAAGTACCTTAAACAGAAAAAAGAATATATATAATGGTGATGACCATGCGCATTCAGCAATAAACATTAACATAGAGAGAAAGAAAGTAATGACAGTATCTCATTCCTAGACGTCAGCATGGCAAGCGAAAGAAGACGGCACACTAAGAAGAAGTGTGTGTATAGGAAACCTACAACAACAGATCAGTACACCCACTTTTTTTGAGTTTCGTACCTTTGAAATATAAACGCGTAAGCTGGTAAAGTGTCTGCTTCATAGAGCTAGGTTAATCTGTTCACACGACTGCCTCAATGGGGAGCTTAAGATTACTAGAGAATTACTTAGTTTAAAAAATGGTTATCCAGATAAGTTCATTGAGAAAAATATGAATTCAGCACCTAGGAGAGTCAGTTTGGCAACAGTTCCGAAAAGTTCATAAAAATGCAGTTCCTCAGTGACAACATCAGCGAAATAATAACACAGCGCCTGAAAAATGCAGTTGAAAGAGATACGTTGTCCCTTCACAACCACCCCTATTCTACGTTCGAGAAATAAGGATAAACTACCTAAATTTGCCTCCTCTCTGTGTATTTACCAGTTTGACTGCAGCTGCGGAGCCAGCTACATTGGGCGTACAATTAGGCAGGTTCATCATCGTATTTCCGAACATCATCCAGCATGGTTAAGCAAGGGACAAACAAGATCTATTGTAGCACACCTTGTAGATAGTGAGCATATGGTTGACGTTAATATTTCATTTAAAATTATTTATTGCATTCCAACTAATCTTAATTTTGCTCTGCGAGTTCGTCTTCTACATACAACAGCTGAAGCAATAGGAATCCACCTGAAGAAGCCACACCTGAGTGTTCAGAAGAAATTTGTACAGCCACTTTCCTTACCTTGGCTATCATTACATGAATCTATAAACCGGACTACTTCGCCTTCTTCTCCTAAACAGTTAAAAATTATAAAAGTTATAAAATTGTAATTGTCCAAATTACTTTATTTTTCTAACCACTTCATATTTAATTACGTGTTATTCTTGAAAAATTAATTTATTCTAACCATTTCTACCTTTTAATTGTGTGTATTAATTTTCTTCGTTAATTATCACCCCACTGACATGTTGACAGTGACTAATTACTGTTAACAAACATATCGCCCACCACTTGATTGGTAAACTGTTGTGTATTGTAATAAAAATGCCAAAGGTTTATATTAGAGTAGAGCCAGAGATGAGGATCTAATTGAAAAGTAAATATTTCTTCGCTCAACCTTTCTGTTTTCTATATTATGATTTATTGATTGATAGAAATACAAGTAATACCTAATCAAATTGCCTAACTACCTAATACTGTAATGTCATGTTACCATAGTTACATAAAAGATGTCTTCAATGAAATATATTGGTGTAAGTACCGGAGAGCTGTTTCATCCTAGTTTGGACGCCGTCTCTGGAGTAGACGTGATATTCGACGGCTGGCTGTCGACCAAAGGGCGTGTGTACTGCTCAGCAGCACAGCAGTTCGCTCCGTAACCCTTTATGACTGGCTGTCAGCGAGACATGACCATTGATAGTGGAAGATATGAAAAGCCTGTCTAGCTGTCTTTAATCATAGGTGCCTGCCTGCATTCTATCTCCCGTGTCAAGTGGTATAATAAGGTGAGCATTATTTAGGTTGGGCATCGGTCGAGTGCTAGCCTCAGTAAGGAGAGAAATCAATCGACGAGTCTGTGAAGCTACATCGATTGAGATGGTTAGGACATGTGTTATGCATGCACTGGTACACATCGCCTTCCTCAACCGACAGGCAATGTAAGCTGACATAGGATGGATCGCGTTGGAAATGAGCCAGTGGTGGTCAAACGAAAATGTGACTTCATCAGTCAGTGAAGTCCACAACAGTTAGTTTAAGCCAGTCACTTAGGGAGGTATAGACTGCTGTCTGTTTGGGGTCCTCGGGATGGTAAAAACCAATGAAGGCTAGGGACGATTGGTGATATGGCTGGTTCAAAATCGTTCTCAATACCTGACGCAGATGTATCCACTCCTTGTGACTTATAATATCCAATAAAACTATATTGTTCTTCCATAGTACTACAGTTTTTGCCTTATATCTCTGTTTACTGTCTCTGTCTTTCATTTCTTTTTACTTTCTTCTCTTGCTTTGTGTGCTGATTGAAGTGTGGCGAATCGACGTGCTGCACATTGATGCAAAGTTCTACGTTAAAACCAGTCAATCCTAGTTTGAAAATCATTTGCAGTATGTACCCACAAGCCGTGATTCGAACCCAGGACCTTCCGGTTACAAGTTCAGTTGGTACAGCATTCAGTTGCTGGAACCCAACTCAATGACCAGTCTCTATATTCTAACTTTTTTTTTCTTCACGTTCCCCTGTGGAACATAGGGCTTCAAGCTAGCGGCTTGAAGTTTCTGTAGCAGTGTTTATTTTACAGGATGGGGTTGCTAGCCTCATGCTCAACTTTTCCTCTTCACCAGCATTATTTCTGGCTTAACGAGGTAAAGGAGTGCGTCGGCCGGGGTTCGAACCCCGGACCATGTGCATGGTCGGCGAGCGTCCTAGCCGCTATGCCACCGACGCGCATATTCTAACTTAGATATTCATAATTTTACCGTGATCACCCGCCGACTCATATCAATCTATGATAGCGAAATGACAGATTTCAACTAGAAAAACATCTAAACAGTGGGTGTGGTGAGAGCTGTCTGCAAGCCAAAATTGTGGACGACAATTTACGTCAATATTTACGTCCCCCGAATCGGAGTCATGAGATAAAAAGCAATAAGAAAGCTTAACCTTGAGGAACTCACCAACCAATCACACAGCAGACTTAACGTGTGCAAATACGATTCGCAGACATATATGGCTTAACTTTCTAAGAAACGGTCACAAACAGTACGGAATAACCTTTGACAAGAAAATAACCAATCAGAAGAGGTTGCTTCTCTGATAACATTAACAAATTATAATGTACATTAAAATCTATACATATCTTTTGATTTTCGCAATAAACGTTCTGCTGCCTAGCTCTTGTCTTCTGTCGTTGTTACATGTGAATCACCGGGAATTCGCATCGATCTTAAGAGCAAATTAGCAGGAATGGTATACACCCATAAGATTACAAGCATGTTGCCTTTAAACAGCCATAAGGTCAGCTGTTTGATTAATTACTCAGCAATAGGATTGATCGGCGGTAAGAATGTTTCTTGAAATTACATCAGATGAAAATGATGAGCAACTGAAATACAAGTCATTGAACGAATAATATCTTTTCTCACTTCTTCGTAAGAATTGATTTCTGGTTGTGTATCATTTACTGGTTGGATTTTGAGTTGAGTTTTCACTGTTGACAGGTGAAATATCTGAGGTCAATGAATCAATTTATCAAGTCAAGAAATTGTGACAGTTGTTTGCTAACAACTTTTGAGTGCTACCGACGAACTCATTTATCATGAAGTACGTGAAGTGTGAAGGAATACCGAACACATGAAACTCATAACGTATTTATAAACTTAACTACCCCAAGAGATGAATAGTTTTGGGTCAAAGCAATCACTAATTTTCGAGGTTAAAATCATAAATCTAGTTATTCGGATAGTTTTAAAACGCTTGCTTCAACAAATGATTCCTTTTCAAGAGTTGGTTCGTAAGGATTAGATTTGTTTTTACGAGTTTGACTACGGATTGATATCAGTTAGAGAACCATATTGAAAACCAGCCACAGGGAGTACTGGACGGCTAGCTCATCCTAGTGCTTGGGAATCATCGGTAGTACGCACCCACTGCCAGGATTCAAATCCAGGAACTTCCGGTTACAAGGCAAGCTTGATTCCTTTCTTTTTCCTACACTACATGTTCCAAAACGTGTTAACTTTAACGATATTTGCTACTCACAAATAGCCAGTCAGAGAATCGGTTATATTTTCACACATTCAAAATGTGACGCTTTCATATATATAGAAGTCACAACACAGTCTATTGTCTGCATTGCTTATCACTTCAAATTGGTACTAAGCCTTTTGTTAAAAGTGGAATAATAACGATAACATAGAAAAAAGGATATAACGACAACTGAGCGAAAATAAACGAAAAACAATTCGGACTAACTTCTTCCTGATCTGGTATATTATTCATCGTGTAGTGGCGTTTCGATAGTATTTTCAGCATATTAAATAACATGCTACTGAAAAGTAAGAGAGCAACAGTAAATCAAAATATTCTAATATAAATTATTATTAATGTTTTAAGACTGTGTAATCAGTATCTATCTATCTATCTATCTATCTATCTATCTATCTATCTATCTATCTATCTATCTATCTATCTATCTATCTATCTATCTATCTATCTATCTATCTATCTATCTATCTATCTATCTATCTATCTATCTATCTATCTATCTATCTATCTATCTATCTATCTATCTATCTATCTATCTATCTATCTATCTATCTATCTATCTATCTATCTATCTATCTATCTATCTATCTATCTATCTATCTATCTATCTATCTATCTATCTATCTATCTATCTATCTATCTATCTATCTATCTATCTATCTATCTATCTATCTATCTATCTATCTATCTATCTATCTATCTATCTATCTATCTATCTATCTATCTATCTATCTATCTATCTATCTATCTATCTATCTATCTATCTATCTATCTATCTATCTATCTATCTATCTATCTATCTATCTATCTATCTATCTATCTATCTATCTATCTATCTATCTATCTATCTATCTATCTATCTATCTATCTATCTATCTATCTATCTATCTATCTATCTATCTATCTATCTATCTATCTATCTATCTATCTATCTATCTATCTATCTATCTATCTATCTATCAGAATAGTAGACTTGTTGAAATTCACATGGTAATTTATGCTTTGTTTTATCGATTGTGGTACTGTGTTCGGCAGCATGATATGCTTCTTTGAGGGAGATTCTTGGTTCCTATCTGTTAATTCTTATGTCTGATTCGTGAATCTATATTATCATTATATATATACATATATATAAGTGTCTTCATTGTTGATTTTTATGGTTCTAAGTGAGCTTCAATGTATATCTTTTCTGGATAGATTTTCGTATGCTTTTTGTATCCTCATTGACTGTGGTATGTTCTAAAGCTACTAAGGCAATTTCTAAGCAGGTATTTTGAGAGGGGGAAGTACTGTCAGAATAATGGCAAAGTTAAACGATAATAATTCGTGGAATGCGAATGCTCGAATGACTTTGAGCCGACCAGTCAGAGGAACCAGTGGTTTTTACATAAAAATAACGTTTGCTTACATGAGAAATACATGGAAACAAATTAAACAGAATTGTTTACCCTGATGATATCTCTCAATTAAAATGAGGAATCTCAACTATCATGTTAAACCAGTTTCTGTACATGCATTCATCGAGACGATCCATTAATTGTAGTTGAATTAGTATAGGTCCAGTATGGAGGTTGACGAAATCCCTAGAATGATTCACTCCACCCAGTCTTTTTTATGAATAGTAGTGCTGGGAATGAATACCCCTTTTTTATCATTTGGTAAAAGAGTGTCAGCATTATGACTTGGAATTATCTCAGCAATTCCCTTCCGAAGTTTTCTGTCGTGATTTCCCAAGACTGAAAGGTTATTTGCCCTAGGGTGACTGTGGTTATATCACTTCTTCATCACAATTGTTTTATCGATGTAAACAATAGAAGCAACTTCTTCTAACAGTTGTGGGTTAGTATTCATCTTCCAGGATGATATATCTTTAAAATGCTAGAAACATTATACATTAGATACCAAGAGATTTTTTGTCTGTACAGCCATCTTTAGGTATCCAGTAATGACAAGTAAATAGTATATTTTTCAAGGGAGGGGAGTCCCGATTTAGAGAAGGAAGTTCCTAGAAAGCAATGAACTGAAACTGTAACTTACCGTTATGAATACTCATTCGTTTCCTACACTTGTGTACACCTAAATGCATACCCATCATCTGCTTTCAGACACCATTGGATATTCACAGAAGCACCACAAGAATATTTTTGCAGCTATGTGCTATCAACAGATTATCTGAACAGCACTTAAAAACGAGATTGGGTTGAATTCAATTAATGAATAGTGTTCACACAATAATGGTAGGTCTCATTATCTGACAACTAACATGTGTTCAAGGTCATTCGTGCGTTCACACTCCTGGATCATAATACCTTAATAAGGTCAGGGTAACAAGAGTCCTCATGAGCTTCATGAGTTCCATATTTATGAAAATATAAATAAATAGATGAATTTCATATGAACTGTGATCAAGATCTGACCGAATAATTCCAAAATAATTGGGCGGCGAATAAAAATTATACTTGTAAAATCTCAGCAAAATTGAAATGATTAATTCCAACGTTTCCTGCGTTCGGCAATCTGGTCCGAACTTCTTCAGGGAAATTAATCGAAATTAAAATAACAGAGGTTTATGTATATATAAAAAGGACATCTTTTGTTTTGGGTGAATCCCAACAGTTTGAACAGACATGAAGGTGTGATCTTGTTAGCTGATGCATGGCAAATTCTGATTAATAAATAAAAATGGATATGTATCATTAATTAGTCATACTTGGTCAAAATTCCCAATTGACTATATCTTCTTATGGAGTGGCTAACAAATGTATTGCAACTGTTTACCTACACACACACACACACACATACACACCACACACCATTGTTTACCTCATATAAACATATATTTTCATATTCAATTATCTCCGACTATGAACTTCTAGTCAAACCTATTGGATAACGCTTTGGCGTTTGAAACTATGGGCACTGGGTTCGAGCCTCGGTGGGAACATCATCACTCACTGCGGAATGCAGGTACATCCAGATGACGAGTCTCAAATGAGAAGAAATGCTCATCCTTAACTCCACTGCTAGTCACCATCCACCAATTAAACGTAATCTGTTAAAAACAGTGTTTAAAGTGTTTAACAAAGGTAAACTAATTTTGAAAGTCTCAGATCAAATTTTGATCACAGTTCACACAATTTTGTTTATAATACATGTTGATACCTGTTTCATGACTCATATGATTGGACAAAATTTTTTTTAAAAACAAGGAATGTCTCCTTATATATAAACCTCTGTTATTGTTAATTTCGATTAATTTCCCTCAAGAATTTCTGACCAGATTGCCGAACGCAGGAAACATTGGAATTATCATTTCCATCTCGCTGAGATTTTACAAATATAATTTTTCGCACAAATGGATGACTTTCTTTACAGGCAAAAGTATGGAAAAGAAACTAGTCGTTCGTTAAGTTTCAAACTTACCTTTTTGTTATTGCCTGAGTTGCATTTTTACCTCTATTGAAAAAAAAGTAGACAGAAAAAGAAGAACGAATGAATTAGTAACGAATTGAGATGAGTAGTAAGATTATTTAGGCATAATCTCTCTAATTTTTTTTTAATTTATCATAAAATCTATAAGAATTCATCAATGAAATAGCTATCTCTTTCAGTCTGAATCTAATGAAGCGGATGGTTGGGTGAATTCTAACTGAATATGTACACAGCTGACAAAATATATCTATAAATGCTCTTAATTTCCATAAAGAATATTTTATTCCTGAAAATACCCATTGAGTCATGAAGAAAATAAAAGACAGATTCAGCGAAGAAAATTTTCTTTATCGACGAAATCATCTTCAGAGTCGGCTATACACAGTCGCATTTATACTTACCAAAAATATATAGTGGTCTATTATTGAGTAATAGGGGGTGACATAATTGATATAATTACTCAGAAGTGGCTTTATAAGTGAAAATTGAAAGTTGTAAATTACGTGGTACTCAACGGAACAAAGATAGAAATTTGATAAGATTAAAATTGATGCTGAGTCAGAATAAAGCTATTTGAGTGTCAATTTAACAAGTGTGAAGAGGGTGTGAAAATATACAAAAGGAGCATATGAGAGTGATAATAGTGAATTAATTATTAAAGCAAAAGCAAACTAAAAGTGAAGAGGTTAAGACCAAGGTAGAATAAGATACTGGACAAACTTTTTCTGTATACAGAGTTCAAGGTTGTATTGATGAATTGCCAGCGACTCGGCCATACACAAAAGCCAAAACCTGACGCCCTTTGTACTATTTGGCTTCACTTTGTAGATGATCCTGAAAGACGACTCTAGTGGAGCTACGTGGCCTGAATTCACCAAATGCTCGAGAATTGAGCTAGTAATTGTATTACACTGTCCCTTTACTAACCATACCGGATAATGTTCAGAGATGCGTTTAAAAAGCGTGCGCTTTGTGCTGCCAATATAACTAGCTCCACACAAGCAGGCGAATTTATAAACATACATTGAGGTGGCCCAAAGCGGCAGTTTATCCTTCCCTCATCCGTCGATCATTTGTTGGCTGTAGAAATTGATACGTAGCTCAGCCATAAAGAAGCCTTTCCTCAGTGATTTGCATAAGCGATTCTTTAGGATCTTAGATGCGGTATCACCCATAAATTCAACACTCATAAGTAGCAGTTCCTTCAGCGCCGTCTGGATTCTTTCAGGCTTTTCCCTTAACTTCATGTTTTCCTCTATAAATCTCGGAGGATATCTATTCTCTGTGAGGACTTGTCTGAGTCGTCCCAGTTCCACCATCGATTGTGTCACTTGAACATATCCTCCTTATTCTTGAGGTTAAGGAATGGGTCAGATTTCTCTTTATTCTCAAAGGGATTCAGCTATGGAAATTTGTGTACTGACCATTCCATGTTGGTTTCTTGTAGATCGATCTTTGAAGAGAACCATCAGATCTCCTCTTTAGAAAAACATCCAAAAAATGGAATTACGAGTTAATCTCTGATTCTGACGTGAACTTGATGGCATGATGGCAGCTGTTGAACTCTTAAGTTATCAATTCGATGTCGGTATTGTCGTTACATATGATGATGCAAAGATGTCTACTTTGATTTGACACATTAGGCAGTAACATATCTCACGCGTTTAGAACAGAGTGAATTCCATCAGTCAAGTTTTCCATCTGGTCATCATACATGGTGACATGGTTGGTGTTAGAATTCAGTCTGTACAGACAGCAAGGCCTAAATGCATAACAAAAGTTACCATATTGAGTCTGATAAAAGTATCCAGTACAGTTCTACAGAAGGTTACTCGCGATTCCGAAAATAACTCCGTTGTAAAGTCTACAACTGCAGCGCTGGGTAACTTAGGTTAAAATCTCTGAAGGGACATAATTTTCCTCAAGGGTGAAGATGCACCTTGTTGACTGATAAACGCCAGCACACACGAAGACAAGGTGTAGGGCACCCTACCAGTTACCTCTAACCACCTGGAAACGTGTTCATATATATATATTAAAACAATTAGTTCCTTTGATAAATTTGAATAAAGCATTTATAAGAGAAATTTAGGGAGATGATATCTTCATTTCGTAGTTTCTTTACAATCGCTTTACAACTAACATGGTTCACAATAATAAAGTAAAGTAAAAGGTATGACAGTTACTCAGTTATATAAAATAAAAGTACATACTAATGACCAATCATATTTTTTAAATAGGTCAAGTAGTCCACCTACTGTAACACCAGAAGGCAAGACACCTAAGGGAAGGTATATTTTCAAGTGACCAAACCGCTATAGTTTTCTGTTGCTAATCCACTACTGAACTGTTGGAATATATAACAATAATATTCCGTTGGAAACCACTCTCTGTATCACACCACTACACTACCATACCATTCAAGGATGACCAGATTATGTAGTTGACTGCTCAAACTCATATTCTACACCGCATCTCTTACCCTCACATCTCGAACATTTCCGATCCCTGTACCTACGAGTGAAGGACGAAATTCCGTTGAATCTTCTTCAACCTGTATCTACAAGTTCACCTGCAGTTCCACTGACACTTACATAGGCAGAACCAATAGAATGCTCCAATGTGGTCGTCAAAAAGAACATGTTCCAAAATGGTTATTTAAACATAGAGAAAATCCCAACACAATTAATCTGAATAGAAATCCATCAGCATCATCCATTGCAAAACACTTATTAATGTCAGGTCACAAAATCAATATTAATGACTGTTTGACAATTATTTCACATAACTCTAATTCATGGTTATTGAAAGTGATGGAAGCACTCTGGGTGATTAATCACATACATTCTTAACTATTTGTACAAAAACCAATACACTTCAACCTTCTCGCCTACCATGGACAACTTGACCTATTTGAAAATATGATAGGTCATTAGTATGTACGTTTGTTTTATATAACTGAGTAATTTTCATGCCTTTTATTTTATTATTGTGAACCATGTAAGCTGTAAAGCAGTTGTAGGGAAACTACGAAATGAAGATATCATCTCACGAAATTTGTTTTCTTAATTATGGGAATTAATTCTTGCTGTAAAAGGATAACTGTAGATCCCCAAAGGATAAGATCTCGTACCTGAGCACTTCTATGTGAATATATCAGTTCAACTGTCGCTTTGAAGCTAGGTACATTGGTCGTTCAACGCGCATTCTGTCAAATAGGGTCAAAGAACACTATCCAACGTGGCTGTAGAAAGAAAGTAGTGGCCGTGTAAGGAGTGCAATAATCGAACATCTCATCATCACTGGTCATTCCATCTCAATAAACGCCTCCTCCTTCAAAGTAATCCAAAAAGTAAAGAACAACCTGCCAAAGACAATACGTTTCCGTCTTCTTTGCATTGCAGAAGCCCCAGCCATTCAGTTGGAAGAACCAGAACTATGCATACAAATGAAAATCATTCAACCACTTCTACTATCATGGTAACAACTCTGTTGATTTGACTTCACTTTTGTTTGTATGCTTATTTTTCTACCTACTTAAAACTCTTACGTAATTCCATATTCTATTTTGTTTCCATGTATACCCTGAACACAACTCTTTCATCAAACTATTCTTCAACAATCGTTTGTGACAACTCATCACTTTTGTTACTACCCTCTTATATCAACATTCAATTCATCTGAACTTACTAATTGTATTTTTGTTTGACAAATTTAATGTACACACACACACACATACAAAACAACCATATATATTTGCGATTGTACAGCTATGAAAATGAATTCGCCACCGAAAAGAGATTCTTCGCTGAACCACTGGTCTTCTGTCTATCAATGTTCGAATGGGGATTTTTCACGAAGTAACTGTCTATTAACGTAGAGTGTATTTACCTAATATCACCCGGTTTCTCTTCTTTTATGACTTGCTTTCATCTTAGTACTATTATGCATGGAAATTAAAGCTACCATGGAACAGCTCGACTTTATGCTGAAAAAAGTACTTTCTCCTCGAAAATGACTTATTATTTAACAGATTAATTTCATGAAAGTCATGAAATACACTCATATTAAAACTTTCGTGTATTATCTAACCCAGGCACACAGAATTCTGTTAAAATAAATATTGGGGGGGGGGGGGGGCTGGGATGAGGTGGAGCTAGGACGGGGAAGAAGGGATGAGGAACAATTAAAGTAAAAATTAAATATCAACCTTACTCATTTGATATATATCTCACTGCTTTGTGAACATGCTCCCATATCAGCCTTTGACCAACTGGAAATACAGCTACAGCTGCCAGGGCATCCAATGAATCCTGAGGATCTTTTTCATAATTCATTATAATCCAGTTCAGATGACTACACAATTAGTAAGATAAGAATAAAATTAGTTTTTAACAAAAAAAGATGTGAAGTGACATATATAATCAATGTGCACTTGAATGTTAAAGTTTTCAAGATTTGGTTTATGTAGGGATTGATTACTAGTGTTGATATCAGTTAGAGGACTAATTAAAAAAACCATCAGCTGTTTCATCCTAATCCCGGACCCTTCAATAGTACGCATCCATCGGGGTTCGAAACAAGTGCCTTCCAGTTACAAGTTAAGCTTGTATACCATTCAGTCACCGGGACCCAGTTGATGAATGGCTAGCTTATGAAATCTAACTTCTACTGATTTGTGATTTTAACACTACCACCAGCCAGGAATATCACTGGTGATTAATTATCCTCACTGCCTACCGGGTGGACACCAATAGTTTGCCATCGCGTTTATTGAAATTTTAATGCGTGCATATTAACCGAAGTGCAGTACATTTTGTTTTTGTTTAGAATTAGAGGAATAAACGTAAAGGGAAGTCATACACTTCGAATAATTACTGGCACAAATTATGGTTTAAAAAAATTAATTGTAATGATAGCTGTTTTCGGAAAGAATGCATTTATACGCAATACAGAACATGATAATATATATTAGCTCAATCTTTATTCTAGACATGCTCCAATATTCCACAATGTTTCGCCTCCATTTCCGTGGAAAGATTCACAGTTACAGGTTAAGACCTTTCTATAAATGTGTCTAAAGTGTTGTTTTTGTAGGGTTTTTCTTTGATTGGTTGGAGGATTTCACCATGAACTGACATTATTTAGAGAACCACTGGAAAACAAGCTGGTAGTACTAAAAAGCTGACCGTCCTACTTCGGGATTCTTCATCAGTACACAACCATCGATAGGGTTCGAACCAACGACATTCTAGTTACAAGGCGAGCTAGCTTGTATACTATTAAGTCTCTGGGACCCAGTCCACTGGCCAGATCATGAATTCTAACTTCTACCAATTCACAACATAACGTAACCACTTCGCAATGTCTTCTTCGACGAGCTAATGTCTTCACCTCCAACCTATTGTGCCCTACTGGTCATAGTTTCCCACTAGAACCCCAGGCTGACTGCCTGAATAGGGTCAGTCGCTGGTGAGCATCAGATTAATTTTCAAGTGATGGCTTTGTAGGGATTTTGTTTGATTGGTTGGTTCAAACCTCGGTGGGTGCGTTTTGTGAAGAGTCCCAAAGTAGGCTGAGGACACAACTGTCCAGTACTCCCAGGTTTTCAAATGGTTCTCTTAATAATGTCGGCTCATGATGAAATCCTCCAACCAAATGTGCCTAAGTATACATTGATATTCCTAGACATCACTGTATAGTTGAAACATGAAATGAAACAGACACATAATGCATTTAATTGAATAGAAAATTTAGGTAGCCCCGTGATTTATGAAATTATAAATATAACAGTTAGCAGATACATTGCTATTTATTTGGATAATTTATTGTTATAGAATTAATACCAAAAGTTTAGCCTTCCTTGATGTGCCTATATACAATCCCTTAATAAACGATTTCAACAGCAATATTCCAATAACACACAAAATAAGTTGTGCACAAACACTATTCAAGAGAGCCAAGACTCATTTCACCACTCCTATCTTAAGGAAAACTGAAAAAGAATACCTCATAGACATCTTCCAAAAGAATGGATATCCACATTTATCCCCAAGTCAACCTATCAAACCATAAGCCCCTAAGTAAAACACAAAGAAAATCGCCCTATCATATATAAAAGACATCTCAGAAATCACTGCAACAATCTTCAAACCTTTAAGAATTGAGGTTGCACGCAAATCAACAAAATCACTTCACTCAGCTGGCTCTATGTCAACCAAAAGACTCAACAACGAAAGGACATGAAACCAACATCATCTGCAAAATAAATTGTAACAACTGCGAAGAACACTATATTAGCCAAAGTGGACGTCCCCTTCGTCTTCGTATCCATGAACATAAACTAGTCGTCAAAAGACATGTTATCCACCCTCTTATATCTCTGCATGCGGACAACCATGGAAATCAATCCGACTGGGCCAAAGTTCAAATATTAGACAGAGGAAACACCGAGAATGCTAGAGAGATTTTAGAAGCCTGGTCTGGTATTCCAGTGAATCGTCAATTAATAGACACATGGAGATAGACAAAATTTACCAATCGATAAGAAGAAAATCTCAGACACAAAGAGTCAAACTTCAAGTCAAGGAAACAATCAGTACCAATGCAAGTAGCCTAGAGGGTGTGAAAACATACACAAAAACTACCAGTCACATTCAGCGTCACCAGAAAAGATGACTAATAAACTCGTGGAGAAATCTAAAAGCTCACTTCAATTCAAATTGAAGTATGCGCTGAAGATGTTGCCTAGTAGGCAGCAATGAAAGCTTCGTAAATAAATCATCCAGCTTAGAGAACACAACCACATCAAAATCATCCATCTGAGCTACAAATCGTCTTCATTACATCTGAATTAAAATGGAAATGATACAGTTGAAGTGTTGGTCTTGATCACAGTGAACAGGCTGAGAATTAGAGGGAAAGAGTATTGTTATGAAGTTGTAAGCCTGTTTGCTTTTCATTTGTTACAAAAAGTGTACACATACATTGTTAAATCTCTGAAGTGTATTTCAACTTACAGTCGTACAATCCACATATCACGAGAACAGGATAGTGCCTGCAATATACTACTCTTTTCGTCTTCTTTAATGTCTACTTGTGATAATTTATCCTTCAAAAATTGCCATTCTTTTTGACCACCTATACGAATAGCTGTACAGTAGACCGCTGGTCTTAGACTCGGTGGTATTCTGTAAATTTTAGAAAGAAATAAAAAGAAGGTTTCATAATATGTATATTTTTTAAACAAAGAAAGAAGAAACATTGGCGCAGAATAATCTGGATCCATTTTATTTCATCGGTTCTCATCAACTGCGTACAGTCTGAATACTTTATTAAAGTAAAAAAGTGTACAATTTTAACAAACTTTTGTCCATTAGCAAGCATATTGTCAGAACGTCGTAATGAAATAAGGCATTGCGATTTACAAGGTGTCTGATGTGTGTCAACTTAAATATATATCTTGTTGGAGAGAAGTTTCTTGAAAATACACTAATTAACAGTTGTGTTGTTGGGGTGATAACAAAAGAAAATTAGTAATAGGTACGTAATTAGATAAGAGAAGATCAAAATTTCGGTGCACATGAGGTCAGATGAGAAGTTGATGACGTGATACAGTGGGCAGAACTCAGAAGATCAAGAAAAATTATCTCTTAAGAGAGTCAAGCGAAAAATAGAGGGAGGGAGTGAAAAGATAAGTTTAGATAACAAAGAGTTCTTAGGAAGTGAGTCCTCAGGGTACTTGAAGTCCAACAATGGACTCTTTTTGGACACATAAGTCAGGCTTCAATCGTTTTAGTGCTATAGTTTCAGCAAACCTGAAAAGACTTGGAGTACTTTGTCTGTTAATTATTTTGAATGATTCCAGCACATCTACTGGGTGTCCTGTGTCAGTCAGGTGTTTGGCGATTGAAGAGCTTAAACAAAAGCTTGTATGAAATACACTTTATGAGGAACTCAGCACTTATTGTTACTCAACACTACAAGTTATTCTTTAAGGGGTTTTGAGTGGAACTTGAGACTTCAAGGTTGACTTTTGAAGTTTCAGTATTAGCTATGTTGATATTTTACCAAATGGGGTTGCTAGCTTCACGCCCTAGTCTCCCCTCATTGTCGGCCCTATAACCAGCTTGGAGAGATAAAGATGTGTGTGTGTGGGCGGCTAAGGAATCAAACCGCAGACCACGTACATGGTTGTGTTTTCATTGTGGTCTCCGTTGATTATATAAGCGATGTGTAGACTGATATCTTCTGGAAAGGCGATCTTGTATTCGGTTCAACTACTAAATTTTGCGTGAGGAAGCGACGAGATACAGAAACTAGTCAAGCTGGAAAAAAAGAATGCTGATGCTGTTGTCTGCAAAGTGTAGACTGAGTGTAAAAATTTAACTAATGTAATTATTAAACTTAAAACATGACTTCATGAGTCTTATATATTTCTCAGAACACTGAACATTCTTTGAGAGGACTACTTCTGATCTCTGTATTGTCCATTTCACTATTTAAATGGGAATTACTTATTATATTATTATTCCTTTTGGTCGCGCATGGGACACATGGCTTCAACAGCAGGTTTCTATTTTGTCCTGTTCTCTGTAGTGGCTGCACTATCGCCCACAGGCTCCCTCCTCCTCTTCACACGATCTCCTCTATGTCACCCTCAAGTACACGTCAAACTCGCCTTTTCCCAATCGGGTCGGAATCGATGCTGTAGCTGGCGAGCGAAATCACCCGGCAATCTCATCAGTGTAACTTCTATTCATCTTCTGTTTCTTAGGAATATTTTTTGACCAGTAGGCTCCTGATTGGTTCATCCTCATAGTTTCTTGCCAGTAATCCTCTCTAGCCTGCCATCTTGTCTTCAAAATGGAGTCAGAGAATGGTGGAAGCTGTTGATGAAAGTCTCTATTACCCTCATGGAAATGCCTTTCGTGACGCACTCACCAAGCTTCTGACCCATGTAGAAGAATTGACTGATTTAACATTTGTTTTGAAAATCCGAATCTTGTTGTTTATGCTGAATGGAGCAGACTTCCACACTGATTTCAGAGTGATGAAGGTCTGTCTTGACTTTTCGATACTGAATAGCTTTGACATCTTCATCCTTGCCGGCTGTAGTTGGAACGATGCTGCCTAAATTAGGTAAGTGAAAGAACTGACTTCCTTCAATTTCATTCCCTCAATAGTTAGTGATTGGTGCTTGTTGCTAACGTGGGTTGGTTCGTTATCTTCACTACCTCTATCCTCTCTCTCTGTTTACTTGAAGTCCTGGCTTCGACGCCAGCCTCTTCTACCAACTTGTTGGTTTTCACCTGTAATTCCTCGAACTTATGTGGCATTAGACATAAATCGTACGCGATATCTGGATGACCTGGAGTTTTGTTATCGGTCCAACGTATTTCTGTCTTTTCACTCCACAAACACACACAATATTCCGCAAAAACCAGTCCACCATAATTAGGAATATTATCAGTGATAGTCAAAGAATATCACAAATAAATTAATTCCCGATAGAAATAGTTTCAATATTTACTTTGGGAATGTACGGCATAAATTAGAGAATAATATATCAACATTTTTTTTACCACAAATTACTTGTTTTCATTAGCAGTCAAACAAAAAATACCAGTTCCAGGATTTCATCATGAGCTGACATCGGTTAGAGAACCATTTGAAAACCTACAGGGAGTACTGGACAGCTGTTTCGTCTGCCTAATTTTGGGACTCTTTAACAGTACGCATCCACCGGAGTTCGAACTCGGGACTTTCTGGTTACAAGGGGAGCTCGTACTGATGACGAGTCCCAAACTAAGACGAAACAACTAACTGTTCGGTACTCTCAGCTTGTGTCCCAATGGTTCTCTAACCGATATCAGTTCATGGTGAAATCCTGTAACCAATCAGTCTAATCCCTACAAACCAGTACTTGAAAAAATACTGGTTTTAGCCGGTAACGAATTATCAACATGCGTATCATACAATGAATATATGTAATTTTTAAACAATTAAACGGCTGCTTTACGATTATTACATTGTCCACTGAACTGTTCAATATTCAAGCATATCACGTTCTAAATAATGAGAATTTGGTATATATATAACTTTAAAAAAATCTGCATATTTGCCATCTTCAAGTGTTAATCAAAATCCATTGCTTATTACAACAAGCAAAGAAGTTCGTTCCTGTTAAATTTTGCCCATAGTTTAGGCTTAAATTTGAAACTGAAAGCAAACAGAATGTGCCTTATGGATAACAGAACTACTAAGGCAACTTCTAATTGCCTTTTAATAATGATAATAACTTCATTGCAAGCAGTGATACTTATGCAAAATGGGGTTTTCATCACATCTGTTTTCTCTAAGTTCACCTGAAGAAAGTCCTCCCTTTGATGCTTCTTCTACCAACTTGTTGCTTTTCACTTCCATATCTTCCAGTTTGTGGGAAATCAGACATATATCATCGGCGATGTTCAGATCCTCCAAGTTTTTGGTGTGAGTCCATTTTATGCCTGCTTCTCCCTTGCCTGCTGTCTTTTGCATTATCCAGTCCAACACAATTAGGAAAATTATTGGAGCTAGCTAGCTTGTCTCACTCTCATCCTCACTTAGAAGGATTCCGTAGGTTTTCCTTTATGGATTACTTGACGTACGGCATTGTCGCACAGTTATTGGATGAGATGTATAATTGTTGGCGGCTCCTCGTTTTGGCGAAGTAGTTTCCAAGTCACCTCTCGATCAACGCTGTCTGCTGAAGGCCTTTCCAAAGTCGATGAAGTTGAGTAAGGTAGAGGGGTGACTGCCATTCCCAGCTCTTTTGAATGATGATCCGTAGTGTTGCGATTTGATCGATGCATGAACAGTTCCTCCTGAATCCAGCCTGTTCTGGTCAAAGTTTTTCATCCAGGGCTTTTTTGATTCTCTCCGTGTAATATTATTACCGTGAGTAGTAATCACTGCACTCCAAAAACTATGAAAGTAAACAGTTTAATAGATGCTTACACTGAATACGACTCATTGATTCAAGCAAGCGAACAACTTATGTCTAATATTAAACAAACTTCAAGACCTATAGGTGAAAGTTAACAAGTCAGCAGAAGACATTGGCGACGAAACACAGGACTTCATTTAAACACAGAGAAACAGGGATGATGAAAACGCCTAACCAACAGCAACAACAACAGCAAATATGCATCTCACTATCGACGGAAGCAATTTTGAAGAAGTCACTTCTTTCACTTATCGCAGCACCATCGTTTCAGTTACAGGCAAGAGAATGGATGATAGACATTCATTACTCTGGAATCAGCAGAGAGGTTGGCGCCAATCAGCATAAATAACAAGATTCAGATTTTCCACATGAACGTTAAGTCAATGAATGCTTCTTTGTGGATTATAAATTTGGCGCATCATCACAAGCATCTCCATCAGGCTACTGCAGACTTCGATCGATACGTAAGATCAGATGGTGGACCAAAAAGAATTATTGTTTATATTGTTCCCTTGGGTTCCTAGTGGAACATAGGGCTTCAACTGCACGCCTACACTTGCTTCCGTCTTCTGCTTTACTTTTCACCTGCGTCCATGTTAATCCATACTGTTGCAACTCTTCTTCACACGATCTCCTCCATGTCCCCCTTGGACGTCCCATTCACCACTTCCCTTTCAGTTTCCACTCGAGCTATGGCCTGACGCGCGATGTCACCCAGCGGCCTCCTCAGCGAGTGTCAAATCCATCTTCACTTTCTCCTGCATAATTGTCGGGCGATTGGTTCTTGTTTTGTTTGTCCCCATAGTTTCTTGTTGGTGATTCTTTCCGGCCATCTAATCTTGAGTATAGAACGAAGACAGTTGTTGATAAAGGTCTGCAACAGGCTGTTGGAAATATTCTTGGTGACACACTGGTCAAGTTTCTGATCCGTATAGAAGAACTGAGTGACTTGACGTTTGTATTGAAAATCCAAATTTTGTTGTTGATGAAGCTGAGTTGAGTGATGAAGATTTCGAGATTGGTTTCAGGTTGATGAATGTGTTTCTCGCCTTACCGATTCTCGATTTGACATCCTCGTCCTTTTCTTCTGTAGTTGAGACAATGCTCCCTAGATAAGTGAATGAAGTAACCTCTTTCAAATCACTTCCGTTGATGGTGATTGGCGCTGGATGTTGCTGCTGTCGTTGTTGTTGTTGGTTGGTTATTTTCATAACCTCCGTCTTGTCTATGTTCACCTGGAGTCCTGTCTTCACTGCCTGCTTCTTCGACCAGTTTGTCGGTTTTCGCTTGTAAATCTTCGATTTTGTGTGACATCAAACATAAATCATCCACGCGCGAAATCCAGGTCTTCTAGGTTTTTCAAAAAAGAATTAGCGGCAAGAAACTATGGAAACGAACCAGTCAAGAATATATTGACCGACATGTATCCCGAAGAAAGTGGAAATGGACTGGAGTTACACTTCTCATGAGACCACTGAGTGAATTCGTGTGCCAGCCAGCCAGGTTGTTGAATGGAAGCTGAATGGGAAACGGTGAGTTTTGCGTCTGTCTGGGAGTGACATGGAGGAGATTGTGTGACGAGGAGATGAAAACCTATGATCAGTCATGGGGGCAGCTGGAGGGGATTTCGGAAAACATAATACAATGGAGTTGTACTGTTAAAGCTATATGTTCCACTCAGACCCCCAGTATCTGATTACTAATCCCACATAATCCACTCCTGCATGAACTTTAGGATAGTACCAATGACAACAAGTTTGGTGTAGGTCAACGTCTAAAATACATTATAAAATATTATGGAACTGAATTATGAATACAATAAAACAATTATCGGTGACAGATAGACTAACGGAAACTTACAAGTTCTCTTCAGGATTCTGCATCCAGTTTTTATAATATTCTGAGGCCATTTTAACACAAAAATGATGCTCAGCTTGACATGCTAGCTTAGTTAAAGTCAAGCGTAACATGCTAAAAATAGAAATAATAGAAAAGATGAGAATTAGAGCAAACTTAATGCGAAATAGGCATATACGAAAGCGGCATCTGGTTTCACGTCTAAACTCTTCTTTTCCTTTGTTCATATTGTGTGCACATGGATAAAAACATGTTAGGTGTATACCACATTACATAAGTCCGGACCTCTACATAATTTTAACCTCCTTTCCGCCAAGAGTTTGGATAAATCTACGTTGCAAATAGTTAGTAAAAATATTTTGTGCAAAGCTTCAGAATTCAAACATATTCGACACAGCACAAACGTATGAGATAGCTCAATTAACAGTTACGCATTCATGTGACAGAACCCACAATAGCTTCATTATTTAAATGTTACTGCGAAGGAGGTCAAAATAAAGTCGTAATGACTAGAGTATCTATTCGGTATGTGAGATATGGCAATCACCATTCAGGGACGTTATTTCTGAGTATCTAAAGTAAACTGTGCTATCGCTATCCAGTGTCCGTTAATTCCCAGCTAAACTGTACTAAGATGAACAGCTTTCTATCAGGAGTTAGCAAATGGTCTTCGTCTAATGGTCTTAAACTAAATCCCTCCGAATTTCATACTGTTAATTTCAGTTTCCGACGTAAAAGGAAGTTAAATGAAGCTGTTGGCTCCTATGACCTTTGCAAAATTGATGATACTGATATAGAAACCAAGTCTGAAATTAAGTATCTTGGATTAATTTTTTCTTCTGACCTATCCTGGTCCTCTCATGTCTTAGCGATTTCTAAAAGAATATTTTGTTTGACTTTTACATTATGAAGTTAAGGCACTCAAGCATAACCTAACCTCGCCTCTTAAAGTTTGTCCACTCGTGCATCTTGCCTATTCTTCTTTACTGTTCACCCTTGCTTATTCTTTCCAGGATTGCTTAAAAAAGTCTATGTCATACTTCGTAGAACTCTGAAGACTAGCTGTCAGTAGGGCGAGTGGTATCCCATCGGGCCACATCGTTGACATTGTCGTTGATAAGCACTTGATTTCATGCAACAAATTCGCTGAAGGAATTTTGTCAGACTGTGAGTACCCACTCTATCCGCATCTCCAACCTTGTGTCTCCTCAAGTAAAACAAGAAGTCTTTTCAGAAGACTTTATGCACGTATGTCTAAGTATAAAAATCCCACTATACCATATTTGGCATTTACTTTATGTGATGAAAATAGTGTTAGGCATGAACTAACTAACCTTCTTTGCACTATTAAATAAACCATTTCCTCCACCCTTACAACATCAAACTTTATTGTTATCGTACTTCTTATATTTATAATCTTCTCAGTTTTTGCTTTTATTCGTTTATTTTTTCAGAAGTGTGAAAATCATTTAAGCTGTGTTAAAACTGTTAATTTTTTATTTCCCCTCACTATACTATATCAACAAAACATTAGGTCCAATAATCTATAACATGCTAAAGTTTCCAAACTGAATCGACAATGCTGTTTGAAACAAACTCACTGTTATTATTACTATTATTATATTTAATATTCTCAACTCGCACTTCGAATATTTGTGACTTTATATCGTAAACGTTAACAAATTCCTCTGGTTAATTTTGTTTTAATTTTTAATTTTACTTATATTTTGAGTAAATCAGATGAAATATTGTGACAAATGCTGAGAATTCCATTCTGTATTATAAGTACTGTTTTTGGAATAAAGTAGATTATTATTATTATTATTTCGCAGTCGTTCATCAACAGTTCACTGTTCACTGCATTTATCAGTACCCTTACGTGAATACTAAATTTGCGTAAACTTAAGCTAAGCAGTAGAAAGAATACCGGTTAACTTACTGTTTCATGTGGTCTTTGTCTTCTTTCATAGTTTTCCAATCTACTGATTTTAGAGGTTCATCAACAAGGAGACGCAAATATGCTTGAAAAGCTCCATAAATTTCATCCATAGCTAGCATACGATCTAGGTAAGAAAGTGCTCTCCGTGTTGTTTCCCATGCAACATATTGGTCTTCTTTTTTCAAATATTTCGTTAAATTTAGGTAGACAGAGTATGATACAGCATCACGACTAGAATCAATGTGTAGCGAGAAAAACAGGTGAAATAAGTTCACAATGAACTTTTACATAATTTGTACTCACCTACCACCAAAAAAGAGAATTACGACATATTCATTCGATGTAAACTTTAACTGCATTAATCTGTATGAAGTTCAACTTATTTTTCAAGCAGACAAAGCAAACTATCCAGAAAATAATAATTTATTTATATACACTTTTTTACGAGTTGACCACGTATTGATATCAGCTAGAGAACCATTGAAAACCAGGGAGTACTGGACAGCTGCTGTTTCATCCTAGTTAGGGAATCATCGGCAGTACTCACCCACTGGGGAAGGTTGTCACGAATTGGTAAAAGTTAGAATTTATGGACTGGCCATTGAATCAGGTCCCAGTGGCTGATTGATGTTCGATCTTGCCGTGTGACCGGAAGGTCCTGGGTTCGAACCGTGGTAGTGAGTGCGTACTGCCAATGATTCCCAAACTGAGATGAAACAGCAGTCCAGTACTCTCTGGTTTTCAATGGTTCTCTAACTGTTATCAATCCGTGATCAACTCGTAAAAAAACAAAACTAATCCTTACAAACCAACTATAGAAAACTTATTTGTATCATGAAAAATGGAATGGACAGTAAGCACCTAGTGAGCAGATGCGATATAATGCGATACAATGAAATACGTTTCATGTTCAAGTAGTACTCAGATGTACACAAAACCTAAATTAGTGTTACTTATGACAAAGAAATGTACTCATTTAGTCTTTTGTACACTGCGATATTTTATCAGGTTTCAAGTTTGAGATTCGGAGATTCAGTAGCAATGAGGGTTTTCTCACAGGGTGGGTGGAGTTGCTTGTCTCACGTCCAGCCTTTTTCTCTTTACAGGGATTACTACTACCGACTAAGCGAGGTTTAGGAGTGCGACAGTTGGGGTTGGGGACCCGGACTACTTTCAGCGTAGTTTGTGAGCATTCTACTTTGGAAATACCGATGTACACACACTACAATCTTACAAAATCACAAAATTCATCGGTCCTTTAACTCACACAAAATAAGAAGAAGAATGAAACAGGAAAAAGAATGTGTTACTGAAAATTGAATGAATGCTTCAAAATGTTCTAGTTCATAATAAGTGAATACATTTATTACAGCTGTTTCCTCAGCCTAGTTTTGGACTCTTCGTCAGTACGCACCCATAGCCTTATGGTTACAAGGCGAGCTGGTAGACCATTAAGCCATTGAGACCCAATCCAGTGGCCAGTCCATGTATTCCAGCTTCTGCCTGGGTTCGAACCCCTATGGCAGATGCGTACTGATGAAGAGTCCCAAACTAGGCTGAGGAAACAGCTGACTGTCCAGTACTCCCAGCTTGTTTCTCAATGGATCTCCATCCAATGTCAGCTCATGATGAAATCCTGTAAACAGTCATTCAAATCCCTAAAAACCAATACTTGAAAACATTTGTTGCAGTCTTATGTTTTCTGAATCATATTACTAAAGATCTATTACCAGTGATTGTTATTTATACATTATGGATACGAAGAATTCAATCAATAGTTATAATCATATGGTTAAATAGAGTGAGCTAGTATACTTGTAGTGTGATGATGATTGATAGGAATCAGCTAAAATTGAAATCAACATTTAAAGTCACTGGCTGAAGGGGTAGAAGTGTTTATTTTTTCAAATTTGGATTCAGTTTACGTTGTGGACGTCAAATAACGTGAATGGACAACTTGTTTAGCATTGGACAAATTGCTAACCAATTAGATTGATCCATTATCCTGTGATCTAGTCGAACTTTAATATATAGCTAAGAATGTGTGAACATGATATGTTCTTCATTAGTAAAGGTTCATCATCATGTCTTTCTTCCTCTGCCGTTAAATATTGCTGAACATTTTCACGAAAAATATGCGTGTCTAAAAGTACGTAGAGTGCGTACTGATCATATCTTCACCCTCCCACGGATTTTGAAACACACTAGCATACTTACCGGTGTCCAAAAATTCCTACATATCTTGACCTAGAAGAAGCATTTAACTCTATGTCGACCAAAAAGTGCTATGATAATATCTGACTCTGATGGAAGGGCGAGAAAGTATTTCATACTAACCAAGGTATTCTACTGGAACTCAGAAAGCCATATAACGACTTACGGACAGTCACCATCTGAAATGATGACAACCAGTGAACTGCTCATTTTCGTTTAATTTCATCATAGATGAACTAGTATAATTGACCATAACTAACTTCGGTGGCTTATGCGTCAGACAGTGGGAAACGAGAAGACAGGGATATCCTGGACCGACGTGAAGAACCCAGAAGACCTGGATTTCGCGCATGGATGATTTATGTTTGACGTCACACAAAATCGAAGACTTACAAGCGAAAACCGACAAACTGGTCGAAGAAGCAGCAAACACAGGACTCCAGGTGAACGTAGACAAGACGGAGGTTATGAAACATCCAGCACCAATCACCATCAACGGGAGGGATTTGAAAGAGGTTACTTCATTCACTTACTTGTCTAGGGAGCATTGTCTCAACTACAGGAGAAACGGACGAGGATGTCACATCGAGAATCAGGAAGGCGAGAAACACATTCATCAACCTGAAACCAATCTCGAAATCTTCATCACTCAACTCAGCATCAACAACAAAATTCCGATTTTCAGAACAAACGTCAAGTCAGTCAGTTCTTCTATACGGATCAGAAACTTGGTGGGTTGCAGACCTTTATCAACAACTGTCTTCGCTCTATACTGAAGATCAGATGGCCGGAAAGAATCATCAACAAGAAACTATGGGAACAAACAAAACAAGAACCAATCGGCTAAGAAATATGCAGGAGAAAGTGGAGATGGATTGGACACTCGCTGAGGAGTCCGTTGGGTGACATCACGCGGCAGGCCATAGCTCGAGTGGAACATGAAAGGGAATCGGCGAGTGGGACGTCCAAGGGTGACATGGAAGAGATCGTGTGAGGAGCAGATGAAACAGTATGGAATAACATGGATGCAAGTGAAAAGTGCAGCACAAGACAGGAGCAAGTGGAGGCGTGTTGTTGAAGCCCTATGTTCCGCTAGGAACCCAAGGAAACAGTAATAATAATAACTTCGGTGGCTTAGGGATTGATTTGTTATCAGGTAGCAGTCTCATCCACTTACCACATGAAGATGATATTATCCTAGATGAAAATACTGACGAAATTTAGAGTTTCCTGAACACTTATCGAATTTAAAGTGATGCTGTAGGACTGGTCCCCATTGTCTCCCAGTTTCAATTTAAAGTAGTGAAGCGGTAGAGCATGTTCACCACTCCACTTATGTGCAGAGTCACATCAGTCCCGATGGACTGACTGCTGACGAAATCTCACCATGGATACAACAAGCTCTTGTGGGATTTGTCAACTTACGTCATCTCTGGAGTAGACGTGGTATCTAACTGTCGATCACCACTTCGCTCTATTCTTCTTTACACCTATAGGATGTGATCGTTGAAAGGGGAATATATGCAGAGGTTAGTTGTCTTTAGCAGCAAAAAATATTTGCACTCTATCTCCCATATTATGTAGAGTATTATGATGTGCAGTATTGAGATTAAGCGTAAAGTGATAGGTAAGGAGAGAGGGTAAGTCAGTCAGTTGATGAGGTTGTGAAGCAGCTACATCGACTGAGATGTTTGTGACATCTGTTCTCCATGATCAGTCAGTCTATGCGATCTTTAGCAGTTAGCTTAAGCCACACGGGGGAAGTGTATGCTTTCTGGCTTGGCTTGTCAGAATACTAAGAACCACTATCTGGAGACATTTGCTGACATGACTTAAAATCGTTCTCAGTAGCACAGATTCATTTAAATACTATTGTTTTTCCATACCACTATTCCTCCTTTTTCACACTGACGCTTATTGTAGTTCTCTTATTTTCTTTTTTGTCTTCCTTTGTGTGTGTGGTACATGGACTGGGAAAATTCGAACTGGTGAACTTCTATGCAAAGTTCTCTGCTGAAACGGGTTGTGGTGAGAGCTGTCTGCGACAAAAAAAAACCAAAATTGTAGACACTTATTTACGTCAATGTTACGTAGTGAATCTGAGTCATGAGGAAGGAAAACGATAATAAAGCCTGACCTTGAGAAAATCACCAGCCAATCACGGCAAACTTAACATGCGGAAATATTATTCGCGGATATATGGCTTGATAATCTGAGAAATGGTCATAAAGCAATACAGAATAACCTTCAGCAAGAAGATAACCAATCAGAAGATGTTTCTTCTCCGCTGACAATAATGCACATAAAAATATATATATATAACACGACTTTCGCAATAAACAATCTGTTGCCCAGTCTTTATATCCTGTCATTACACTGTCAGTCAGTCAGTCAATACGTCTGAGAACAGTTTGTGGATATCGATTAGATACCGATAGACTTTGGAAGACTGTACTATATAGTACAGATAATATATTTAATTCAGTTAATTTAGAATTCGTTACTACTATTCCTTTGTCTCACACCCCTGTCTACTGTCTCTACTGTGCATTTCTTCCACTTTCTTCTCTTGTTTTGTGTGCTACATGGAGGGATTGTGGCGACTTGAACTGCCGCACATCGGTGCAAAGTTCTATGTCAAATATAGACGGACAGACAGACAGAATTTAGAAAGTACTACTTACTTGACCAAGCTGAACAAATCATCCAAAATCTGTGTTCGTGAATGAAGGGGAATAGCCTGGAAGTCAAAATGAAAGAAAAGGGAAAATATAAGCAGCAACTGGACACATTTGTCAAATATAAGTATAAAACTTGGGCACTGTGGGCACTGTAGAGTATAACTCCATTTTGGATGAGATTTTATTTTGATAAAATCACACACAGTATAGTGTCATACAGTAATATTTACTACTGATAACCACGTTCCGAGCACAATTTATTATTGTTGCTCATGATCATATCAAGGCACTACACACACACAACTTTCTTGCTTCGTCCATATACATGAGTTTATATACATGCTGCTTGTGGAAAAGCAGATCAACCGTCAGCTTCAGATTTTACTGATGCATGGTTTTATAGATGAAAAACTTTATAAACAACTTAAAGCAATTGGGTCGCATACTCCCCAGCTTTATGGCCTTCCGAAGATCCACAAAACTGGTAACCCACTGAGACCCATCTTAGACATGTCGAGTTCTCCATACCACAAAATCGCAAAATGGATTACAGAGGTCCTTATGCCTGTAAGGGACTCATTATTAAATCATTCTGTAGAAAGTTCATTCGATCTGACAGATATGCTAGACCCCTTGAACATTAAGGATAAGGTTGTGTTCAACTGACATAGAATCTTTTTTTCACCAATGTTCCCCTCAATGAAACTGTTGATTTTCTTTGCGATTACATCGCAAGCAATGAAATAAACTTACCTATTCCTGTAACTTACATCAGAGACATCATCTTAATGTGTACAGAAAATATTAGATTCACCTTTCAAGAAAAGGCATGCAAACAAATCAATGGTGTTGCGATGGGTAGCCCTCTTGGGCCCCTGTTAGCAGATATGTTCATGTCGAAATTGCAGAGACAAATGCAAGGTATGCTTGGAGAATTTATGCTGTATAAACGTTATATAGGTGATACTCTCATTATTGGTAATAATAGTAAATCTATTGAAAACTTTATTACTCTATTTAATCATATACATCCAAATATCCGAGTGACTTCCGAACTTGAATCGAATAACAAACTCGGTTTCCTCGATATTACAATGACCAGGAGAGATGATGGTACGATTCAGAGATCTATCTTTCGTAAACAGACATGGGGTGGACAATATCTTCATTTTACCAGTTTTGTCCCTATCCAGTATAAACGTTCTCTAGTGAAATGTTTGTTCTCAAGAGCCCGAAAAATATGCACGAGTGACACAGTGATGGATGAGTTTCGACATATACATTCAGTTTTATTAGCTAATGGGTATCCGGAAAACTTTATCACTTGTCACAGTAAAGAAAGACCGCATCTCGAAAAGACAGCTTCGGTACCAAAGAAAGCTATCTTTATTAACCTACCATTCAAGGGTGACCAGATTATGCAGTTGACAGCTCAAAGACTTCGGTCAGCCATCAAACGCACATTCTACGCCGCATCTCTTTTTCTCACTTGCCGAACATTTTCGATCCCTGTACCTACGATTAAAGGACGAAATTCTGTGGACTCTACTTCAAACTGTATCTACAAGTTCATCTGCAGCTGCGGTGACACCTATATAGGTAGAACCAACAGAATGTTCCCATGTCGTCGGAAAGAACATGTTCCAAAATGGCTACTAAATCACATAGAAAATCCCAATGCCAGTAATCTGAATAGAAATCCAGCATCATCCATTGCAAAACACTTATTAATGTCAGGTCACAAAATAAATATTAATGACTGTTTTACAATTATTTCACATAACTCTAATTCAAGGTTATTGAAGGTGATGGAAGCACTTTGGATTAATCACATACAGCCTAAACTGTGTGTACAAAAAACAATAGACTTCAATCTTCGCCTACCATGGACTACTTGACCTATCTAAATATAATTGGTCATTAGTATGTACTTTTGTTTTTATTTAACTGAGTAATTGTCATGAACTTTATTTTATTATTGTTAACCATGTTAGTTGTAAAGCGGTTGTAAAGAAACTACGAAATGATATCATCTCGCGAAATTTGTCTTCTTAATGCCTTATTCAAATTGATCATTAGACATATGAATAAAATCAATATGAGATAATACAAATTCAGAAATTGTATTAGTGTTTTATCAATCAAATACAATCAGATGGGAAATAAGATGTTTTTATAGTCAAAATAACTAACTTATTAGAATGTTATATTGTATGTGAATTGAAATAGAATTTAAAGATTATTTATTATCTTCCTCTGATTTGACTGACTGGTGGTAATAATATCTTCCATGCACATCTCTGGAATTTGCGTTGAGTCATTTCTGTTGCATGTGTTGTGTTGGGTGTAGATTCTATGAACAAAGATTCAGTAATCAACACCACTCTCCATCTACCTGTATTACTTCTTAGAATTTTGACTCTCTTCCACCCGGTCCATTGTGTGGTTGTGTGCTTATGCATGCAGTGCGATTGCTTAGCTTTTTTTCTAGATTATTTATCTTCGTGGAAACGATCTTTCTAACCTTAGCTAAATTCTCATGTTCTGATAATCTCACTACTCCTGCCTGATCTACTAGTTTGACTGATCTATGTAGTCGACTTCACTTGCAGTCATTGTAAGGTATTTTGTAAATTATATTATTTTGTTTAATTAGGACAGCCGATATGGTCCCTTAGTCTACAGAGGTTTTTCCACCTGAGTGAGTTTGTAGGTCTGAATACCAGCCTGATTCCTGCCTCATTGAGTGCGTCTAACATTTTTTCAAATGTCAGATGTCCTCAGTTTCTGCACTAGGCATTTTGAATAAAATACTTTCACTTAAGAATAACAAAACAGTTTACATTGGAGACAGATGATGGGAGCTATTCAGTTAGTGGATTCAATGTGAATAAATATCATACCAAATAATATGATTGAACAATCAGCCGTTTGAAGTAGCAGACTACAGTCAAGATTAGTGTTATTATTATTGTTTCCTTTAATTCCTAGAGGAACATAGGGCTTCAGCCGTGCGTCTCCATTGCGTTCGGTACTCTGCTAGAGTCTTCACCTCGCTCCAAGTCTGCCCACACGTTTTCATCTCCTCTGCACATCACCTCCTCGTCCATGTCACCCTGTCACCGATGACCAACTCGCCGCTTCCCTTTCGGGTTCCACTTGAGCAATGGCTTTTCTAGTGATGTCACTTGATGATTTTCTCAGAGTATGGCTAATTTACCTCCATTTCTTCCTCCTTATTTGTTGCACAATCGGTTCCGGCTTAGTTGGCTCGCTCCTAGAGATCCCTCCCTGTTGTTGATCTTTACTGGCCGGCCATCTGATCTTGAGTATTGTGCGAAGACAACTGTTAATGAAGGTCTGTAGTTTGTTTGAGATGCTCTTTATGACGCGCAGTGCAAGTCTCTGATCCGCTTGGTTAGTAGCACTGATTTCACATTGGAGCTGAAAATCCGGATCTTATTTTTGATTCTGAGTGCTGTTGACCTTCACACAGACTTGAGAATAGTGAAAGCTTGTCTTGCTTTTCCGATCCATCCTTTGATATCCTCGTCAGTTCCGTTCGCCTGTAGTTGAAACGATGCTTCCCAGGTAGGTAGAGGAGGTTGTTTCTTTCAGGTTCCTCCCATTTATGCTGATTGTTGTCTGTTGTTGTTATTGCTGTTGGTGGTGTTGCTCAGGAATCTTCACCACCTCTGATTTCTCTATGTTCACCTGAAGTCCTATCATTGATGCTTTTTCTACCAACTTGTTGCTGTCCGCTTGCATTTCTTCCAGTTTGTGGGAAATCAGACAGTCAAGATAATCTGTACAGATTTCTTTAAAATAACTATTAAAGGGGCATTTACTGTGTTAAATTCAATCCGATTTTCCACAAGTATAACATATTTTCATAAAAAACTACATACTACTGATTGACTACAATGAGTAGTTATATGTCATTAAATATCAATCAGTGGCCATGGCTGTATGGATCAAGGTGATCTAAACACCTGAAAGGGAGGAGTGTTCATCAGCGGTGTAATCAGTTTTTGGCTCAACTCACTCCTCTGGTGGTTAGGTGGTCACCACGATCTGGCTGGATAGCAAACACTACTACTCATATCATCTCAATCAATCAGTAGTAGTATGTAGTTTTGTGAAAATATGTTTACTCTCTTGACTAAAATTTATGCCACCATGCAGATCACATATTGAGGTGATCTGATGATGAAAAATACCATTTTTGTCGGACGTAAAGTTTGGGAGAAAATACGACGGGACATTCGAAAGATCTGTATATCGTAAAGACACATGGAGTGGTCATTACATGAAAATTTCAACAGCTTCTGCCCAGTGAGATACAAACGAATGCTGGTGAAAACGCTTTTCTCTAGATCGAAGAGAATATGGTTCATCAAACAAACTAGACAGTGAACTAATGCTTCTTGAAAAATGCTTGAAAGAAAAGAAAATGGTTACCCACAAAGTTTCATTTACAAATATGGCAAGAATAAACCTTAGAAAGCTTGATACAGCTACAGCCGGTAAGAAGCCTATTTACATCAAACTCGACTACAAGGGTGACGACATTATGAGAATGGTAAATAAAAGATTAAGCGCAGCCCACTCGAGGACGTATCCTGCAGCACTATTAGTCTCTCTAGCCGGAACAACCTCCTCATTGGTGCAGTCAAAGATTGACAAGTAGCCCTCACACGTTACCTTCAACTGTGCATACCAATTCACATGTATCTGCGGGAGCAGTTACATTGGAATAATAGAGAGGAGGGCCTACGTCAGATTCTGCGAACATGTACCAAGGAGCCTACGGTTAAAGGGACGGAATTGTTTCAGCTCTTCAATCACCAAACACCTGATTGACACAGGACACCGAGTAGATGTGCTGGAATCATTCAAAATAATTAACAGACAAAGTACGCCAAGTCTTCTCAGGTTTGCTGAAGCCATAACAATAAAACGATTGAAGCCTGACTTATGTGTCCAAAAACTATCCGTTGTTGGACTTCAAACACTCAGTTGACTCACTGCTTAGGACCTCTTTGTTTCCTAATTTTGTTAACTTGTCTTTTCACTCCCCTCCCCACCTTTATATTTCGCTTGACCCTCTTAAGAGATAATTTTTCTTGATCTTCTGAGTTCTACTCACTGTATTATATCATCAACTTCTCATCTGACCTCTGTGCACCGAAATTTCGATCTTCTCTTATCTAATTAAGTAACCATTACTAATTTGCTTTTGCTACCACCCCAACAACACAACTGTTCATTAATTTTTTTTCAAGAAACTTCTCTCTACCAAGATATGACAGTATGCTTGCTAATGGACAAAGGTTTGTTAAAATTGTACACTTTTTTATTTTATTAAAGATTTATTTGAAGATTTTTATTTTTTCATTATCAGGTCGTACGCAGCTGACTCAAGTTCTGGTCCACGATGTGGGCGTGGGTTCGTATCCCACCTCCGACACACGCTTTTGTGCGTCGGTGGTATAACGGTTAGGACGCTCGCCGATCATGCACATGGTTCGGGGTTCGGTCCCCGGCCGACGCACTCCTTTACCTCACCGAGCCAGAAATAATGCTGGTGAAGAGGAAAGGTTGGGCATGAGGCTATCAACCCCATCCTGTAAAATAAATACTGCTACAGAAACTTCGAGCCACTAGCTTGAAGCCCTATGTTCCACTGGGGAACGACAGGGAAAAAAAAGCAGCTGATGAGAACCGACGAAATAAAATGGATCCAGATTATTCTGCGCCAAAGTTTCTTCTTTCTTTGTTCAAATTTATAAGTAAAAAAGGGAATCATTCATTGTATGAAATACTTTGCTTTTTTTTAAGAAACTGTGGTGAAAATTTTACCTCCCCTTAAACGGAGTAAAAATTGCAAATTATGAATTCGATATAACAGATTTATTGGGCAATCGGTGTATATTCAGAAAATAATTGCAACGGCATTTAAAATGTTTCCATTGACTTACTCGAAAGTCTTTATTCAACTGTTCTGTTAACAATTCCCAGTTGTTATCAGCATAATGAACCCGATAAAATCCAGCTTGTTTAATATTAAATAAATACCATGAATTCGGTTCAACGTCTAGTGTTTGGGTCATTGTCTCTGCAGAGTGTTTAAGAAAAAAACAACAACAGAGGAACAATTAATGCAACATGTCTTATTTAAATCATTTTGATAATAATAATAATAGTAGTGTTAATTAATATATTAATTAAATGGATTAATTCTTGACTAGTGGGGTCCATCCAGTCGGGTGTGAGGACAAATACTTGCCGATAACGTTGGTTGATTATTATTATTGTTCCCTTGGGTTCCTAGTGGAACATAGGGCTTCAACTGCACGCCTCCACTTGCTTCTGTCTTCTGCTGTAATTTTCAATTGCATCCATGTTAATCTATGCTGTTTCAACTCTTATTCACACGATCTCCTCCATGTCACCCTTGGACGTCCCACTCGCCGCTTCCCTTTCATGTTCCACTCGAGGTATGGCCTGACGCGTGATGTCACCCAACGGCCTTCTCAGCTCAGCGAGTGTCCAATCCATCTCCACTTTCTCCTGCATATTTGTTGGGCGATTGGTTCTTGTTTTGTTTGTCCCCATAGTTTCTTGTTGGCTGGTGGTCGCGCTAAAATTGGTAGAGGATAGAATTCATACACCATTGAACTGAGTCCCAATAGCTGAATCGCCTGAGCTAGGATGAAACAACTATTCAGTACTCCCTGTTTTCCAACGGTTCTCAAACTGATACCAGTCTATGGTGAAACCTTGAAAAAATAGTTTCTGTTTCTAATTGAATTTTACGATTACTTTTATGGGAAATATTATTAAATCACGAAAAATACCCATTTATTCATGTGTAAAAATACAGCTTTTTTGTTCAGTGAAGAAATTTCTTTTCGAAGACTTCATTTTCAAGCTGTACAGTCAGTCGTATTTATATTACAGAAAAAGGTTATTAAGTGGCACTAAATAATTGCTCAGTCAATATACATATATAAGTGATAAGAATAACGATAATTAAAATGTTGTAACGGGTAGAGTTGAAGTGGATAAATTACTAGTTTTTACCAGCCGAAATATGATTAGACAATGCGTCAAGGATAGATTACCGCTTTTGTCTACATCTGTGTGTATTTACTCTTTTACCTGCTCCTGTGGAGCTGATTATATTGGACGTTGCAAGCGTAATCTCCGAAAACGTGTAGGCGAACACTATCCGGTTTGGTTAATGAAAGGTAAACGTGGAACTACGAAGTCGTCTATTTGTGATCACCTGTTAGAGTCTGGTCATTCAGCCCCACGTGATTCATCCTTGAAGGTTATCTACATGGTAAAATCGAATCGCTCCAAAAGTTTACGTTTTCTTCACTTATGCATGGCCCCGAAGTTTTAGCTATACATAAACAGAAACCTAAATTATGTGTTCAAAAAAGTTTTGTCAAACCCCTTTCTTTACCTCGGTCATAGTAATGTTCTTTCTAGTTCTTATTTTATTTTACCACTTGAATTCATTCCACTTCACTTCACATCTTCATTCTTATCGTAATCGTACTCCTAATTTTTAAAATTTTTAGACAACGCTTGACATTTTTAAAACATTTTTGATATCAATTCACTTATAAAACAATCAACTCTACCCCTTATAACATTTTAATTATCGTTATTCTTATCATATATATATATATTATTTAGTGCCATTTAGTGACTTTTTCAGTAATACAAATACGACTTACTGTACAGCTTGAAAATGAAGTCGTTGAAAAGAAATATTATTAAGCCGACCAACGAGAATATGGAAGCTTTTAATATTTCCTTCTTCTTGGTTGTGAACGCATCAATAATGTGCCCTTATGACTTCGTTAGCATTTACACCGCTGATATGAGAGTATAATTTTGTCACTGTATTAGAATATGACTGAACAATGGAATTATTTTCATTTTTCACAGTACAGCAGAGGGCATTGTACATGATTTATGTCTTATGGCATGCTAACTCGAAGGTCTACTGTCAAAGCCTACAAGTTGGCAAAAGAGGTAACGAAGCCTGGACTTCGAGGGAACACCGGTCACCATCGAGGGAATAAATTTTGCCAGGTTCACTTTCTTCACTTATCTAGGCAGCAGAGTTTCAACTGCAGGTGACGCTATGGATGAAGATGTTAAAAGCAGGATCCAGAAAAACTCTGAAATCGGTGTGGAGACCCACTGCAGTCAACAGTAATGTCAAGTCAATTCTTCCACATGATTCACAGACTTGTCGTGTGCGTCACAGAAAGCATTTTCATCAGTCCACTGAAGAAGACATTTGGCAACAACTAACTTCACCAACCTCAAACTGAAGATCAGAGATGGCCATAAAGGATAAGCCAGAAACAAGGAACTCTGGCAACGGACCAGGCAAGAACCTACTACTACTCAACAAATATGCTGAAGGAAGTGGAGATGGATAAGACACATGCTGAAGAGACCACTGAGCGACATCGCTCTGAAAACACCGAGTTGAATGTTCGAAGTTGACATGGAGGAGATTGTGTGTGTGTGTGTGTGTGTGTGTGTGGGAAAGATGACAGTCTACGAGTAGGCATACACCCAGTTAAAGATGACTGCAGAGAGCAGGACAAAAGGAAGCTTTGTCGTTGAAGCCTTGTGTTCCACTCAGAACCCACTCAGGGGAATAGTAGAACTAACATGCATATCAGTTATACACTCCTTGATATCATCTACGAGTTGGTCTTCTCAACTCATAAAAATAAACGTATTTGTAAATAATACACAGAATCATAATCATTTATATAGTTAATATTTTAATTTCAGAAATAAAAGAGTATCACTAACTGTTCATCATCCAAATAACGTCTACTTCATCCCAGTTATTAGTTTTAGCTGATCCATATGTCAGTGGGATTTTCCAAGTGAAGCTGAAAAAAAAGAGAAAATTGCGAAATCAACTAATCAGGTGAAGTGTTTAAGATTTAACATTGGTTTGAAGTGATTTGAGTTAAACTCACCATATTGTCTCTCTCTTCAATTTATCAATTACTCATCATCTCGACGAAATTACCCAATGAGTCATAAAGAAAAGAAAAAGGACAATTCAGTGAAGAAAGTTTTCTTTATCAACAAAATCATCTTCACAGACTGTACTTATTATGATTATATTTTTATTTCCTTTAATTCTTAGAGGAATATAGGGCTTCAGCCGCGCGTCTCCATTGCGTTCGGTTATCTGCTAGAGTCTTCACTTGGCTCCAAGTCTGCTCACATGCTCTCATCTCCTCTTCACATGACCTCCTCCAAGTCACCCTTACACTGACGACCAACTTGCCGCTTCCCTTTCGGGTTCCACTCGTGCATTGGCTTGTCTAGTGATGTCACTTGATGGTTTGTTTCCTCAGAGTATGGCTAATTTACCTCCATTTCTTCCTGCTTATTTGTTTCACAATCGGTTCCGGCTTAGTTGGCTCGCTCCTAGAGATCCCTCCCTGTTGTTGATCTTTACTGGCCGGCCATCTGATCTTGAGTATTGAGCGAAGATAACTGTTAATGAAGGTATGTAGTTTGTTTGAGATGCTCTTTATGACGCGCAGTGCAAGTCTCTGATCCGCTTAGTTAGTGGCACTGACTTCACATTGGAGTTGGAAATCCGGATCTTATTTTTGATGCTGAGTGCTGTTGACCTCCACGCAGACTTGAGAGTAATGAAAGCTTGTCTTGCTTTTCCGGTTCTTGCTTTGATATCCTCGTCAGTTCCGCCGCCTGTAGTTGAAACGATGCTTCCCAGGTAGACAGGTAGAGGAGGTTGTTTCTTTCACGTTCCTCCTATTTATGCTGGCTGATTGTTGTCTGTTGCTTTGCTGTGGCTGTTTCTGTCGGCCGGGAATCTACATCACCTCTGTTTTCTCTGTGTTCACCTGAAGGAATTCCTATCTTCTCTGGATGCTTCTTCTGCCAACGTATTGCTTTTCACTTGCATGTCTTCCAGTTTGTGAGAAATCAGACATATATCATCGGCGAAGTTCAGATCTTTCAAGTTTTTCGTGTGAGTCCATTTTATGCCTGTTTTCTCATTGCCCACTGTTTGTCTCATTATCCAATCTACTGCAATCAGGAAAATCATTGGCGATAGTAGGCAGCCAGCTTGTCTTACTCCTGTCCTCACTTCGAAGGGTTCCGCGAGTTTCCCGTCGTGGATAACTTGGCATGCAGCATTGTCGTACAACTGCTGGATGTGATGTATAATTGTCCGCGGCACTCCGTAGTAGCGAAGTAGTTGCGAAATCAGTTGTATTGATATATATCAAAAATGTAGTATTAGTCTATTATTGAGTAACAGGGACGGGAGGGGTGACATAATTAATGTAATTACTCAGAAGCGCCTTCAAAAGTTAAATTAAAAGTTTGAAATCACGTAGTACTCAACAGCATAAGGCAAGAAATGGTTAGAAATTTGATAAAGTTAAAATTGCTATTGAATAAGAAGAAAGGTAGTTGAGTGTCCATTTGACAAGCGTGAAGAGGGTGAGAGAATGCACAAAAGGAGCATAGGAGGGTAATAATAGTGAATGAATTAATAAAGTAAAAGCAAACTAATCATTAAAAATAAAACTAAGGAATTTACAGGAGACGGCTAATGAAGAGGCTAAGATCATGGTAGAATAAGAGACTGGACAAAGCTTTTCTGTATACAGAGAGAGAGAGAGTTGAGGGTTGTATTGACGAATTGCCGACGTCTCCACAGTACACAAATACCGAAACCTAACGCCCTTTACCCCATTTCGTCTTAAGTTGTAGATAAGCTTGAAAGATGAATCTGGTGAACCTGCATGGCTTGACTTCACTAGATGCTAGAGAACTGAACTAGTAACTATCATCGTCTTACTTACCTATTCTATTTATGACATAATTCTTTTGCAGATACTTTCAAGCATTCATTTTTTGTTGCTGTTTAAACATGACCTTTCTGGGTATAAACTCTAAACGTGTAATTTCTGAGCACTATTAAGCAAGTTTGGAGTCTATCAGCTGACATTAAATAGCTGGCTGGATAACAGACTGGTTACAACGTAGGACTTTGCATCGATGTGCAGCATTTCGAGTCGCCACACTCTCTCCAATTAGCACATAAAGCAAGAGAAGAAAGTAAAAAGAAATGCAAAACAGAGATATGGGGCAAAAAGAGTAGTAATAACGAAAATCCATATAGTTTTATTGGATATTGTAAGTCACAAAGAGTGGATGCATATGCACCAACCATTGAGAACTATTTTGAGCCATATCACAATTGTCTTCAGCCACTGGTTTTTACCTTTCTGAGGACCCTAACCAGCCTAGAAGTCTACACCTTCCTACATGACTAGCCTAAACTAACTTTTGGATTATATTGACTAATGAAGCCAGGTTTTGGTTTCACCACCAATACCTCTTTTCCAACCTGGTCCATCCTATGTCAGCTAACACTGCTCGTCGAAGTAGACGATGACTAGGAATGCATGCCTAACACATATCCTAACCATCTCGATTGATGTAACCTCACAGACTCGTCAATTGATTTCCCCTCCTTACTTAGACTAGCACTCGATCGACGCCTAACCTCAATAGTGCTCACCCTATTATACCACTTGACACGGGAGATAGTATGCAGTCAGGCAGATATCTATGATTAAAGACAGCTAGACAGCCTTTTCATGTCTTCCACTCTCAATGGCCATGTCTCTCTCAAAGACAAAATGGAGGACGGAATGGACTGCTGAGTAGTACACACGTCTTTTGGTGGAAAGCCAGCCGGATATAACATCTGCTAAGCCCGAGATGACGCAAACTGGCACATGACAAACTAGTCTTCTGTATCCATGCCAAGAATTCGTCAGCATCTGCATTTATGCTAAGACTGTTTCTTTAGCATAAAACTATATACTACTTACTAACTGAAATGAGTAGTTACATGCTACTCATATTAGCCAGTGGAGCTTACTAACCAGATCGAGCAAGACCGGTATTTCTGGATCGCTTTGATCTGGCTAGTGAGCACTACTGTTTGATATGAGTGGCATCCAACTGCTCATCTCGAACAATCAGTAATATATAGTCTTTTTGCAAGATTTCTTTGCCTTTTTGATTACCGTCCGTGGTATCAAGGAGATCACCTATATTGTGATATGGATAATTTGGTTTCTAAAGGTAACTGTGGTGTGAAATTTCATCTCCCCTCGAACTGTGTACATTTCAAATTGTTTTATTTTGATTTAACTTTACTGAGCCTGCTCGCAGATGATGAGAAACCAACAAAATAAATGAGATGATGCCATTTTATTCTGCATAAACCACTCTTGCGCTTACTTTATTCAAATTCATAAAGAGTAATAAAGGTATGCAACAACTTATTCTGCTAATTTGCTAGCGAATGGGACACATAAAGATGAATATTACTAAACATTGTTATTAATAAATATACGTGTGTGTGTTTTTAAAATATTCTGATGACTTTGTTGATGATCTCTACTGTAAAAACACACACACTACTGAAATGCACTGTCCTCAGTTAAGACCAAGTCGGCAATAAACGCAGGGAAAAGCTAATTAATAAACCTGTGCTGCTGACACTCTCTGCGATTACTAAATATATATATATATACCTGATGTAAATCACATTCCTATAATCAAATGAAAAAAATGGGGAATACAAGAAAAGTGTTTCATTTATGTATATTCAAGATTCTTTTAGGATCAAACAACTCGGTATAATAATGTAAGAAACGAGTTGTAAGAAGAATTCATTTGGAGAAACACATGTTCAGGTTTTTTCCCTAATTGTCATCATGTGCCGACAATCTACCGGAAAAAGTCAGAGAGAAGTTAAACTTTAAGCACTAGTAACTGGCAGAGGACTAGTGATCGTGAACGTACGAATCATATGATAAAGGCTATTTTTACGTATAAAAAACCATATATTCACGAATATAATGTACATAAAAAGGGGCATAAACTTGTTACACAGGATACCTTCCTCTGATGCATGACAAATTGACTGCCAATTTTCGATAGGAGTATCAGTAGAGAAATTAAACCACATTCTATACATGTATTCATCTAAATGTCTGTGAATAAAATCCTTTTGAGATTCGTTGATGGCTCAAGTCCTGTTCTTGAACGTTTCTCAAAATTCTTCGATGGAAACGATGGTGTGGTTCTCTGTAATGGGATCCACGAAGTCTCTAGAAAGTTTGACTTACTTTATGGTGAATTATACCCATTCCATTCATCTGTGCATAATATAGATACTGATTTCACCAATCCAGTAATACGAGGGTATCAGAGTACTTGACCTTCTGTCTGTGATATTCTTTCAATGAATCCTTTCTCTAAAGTGGTATCTTACAATCGAATCTCCTAAACATCATATGCTTTTTCACGAGCACGGTTGTATTTCCTTTTTGTTAAGACAGTTTAATCTATATGTACAACAACATCTTCTCCTCCCAATCAAAAGAAGTAACTCATTGATTTGATGATATTGGTTGACTGTTGGCAATCGGTAGGAAGCCTTCGACCCAAGGTTCGGTCCTAATTGGCACTCAACAGCGAGGCGTGTCTGCAGTCTTGAAGTAACTCATGTTCCTTCTGATATTCGAACTCGGGTCACCCAGTGCTACAGTCAGAGACGCTACCACTGAGCACTGGGTGACGCGGGTTTGGATCTCAGAAGGTACATGAGTTCCTTCAAGGTGACTGCAGATATGCCTTGATGACGAGTGCCAACCAGCATGTAAACTAAGCCAGGCAAGGCCTAAAACCATCTAACATTAACAATTCAAAGTGCACCGTGAGGGTGAGCTACCTAGAATGGTGGCCATATTGCAAACTTGACTGATAGAATTCAGTCTGTGCCAAACAAAGGGGACTAGACACATCACCCTAGTTACTACTGTCCAGTCAAAGAAGCAACCCTTTCCATCTTCGGAAGTGCAGTATCTGTGCAGTGCTGATACCACCAAACTGCTGAAACGAGACGATTCTTTGTTTCAGCAACTGTGACCCTTCCAAGTAATTACAAATATACAAAATTTGGATTAATGATAAGTGTGGTCTAGCAAATAATATTTCTACGAAATAGTCTAATCATCCATCAGTTGACCTTCCCTGACACCAACTCGTCTCAGACAAATTTCACAGCGATTAAAGTGTCTATCAATCGGTCTACTGAGGCTTTTTATACTCATAATAACTCCACAGGAACAAATTCTTTCATTTCCAATCAATCAATCAGTTAATCAACCAATCCCACATCTAGGCAAAACTGGAAAATTTTATCTTCACCAAATTTCAGAAGTAGCTTCCCTTCAGAGGAAGCATTTCACACTCGAATTAAGCGGAATAGAAGCTTGAAATTTCGTGTAGAATCTTACTAGTCCCATTCAAAGTTGGTAGTTACTGGGGCTTAAAGTTCAACTGTGACAAAGTCAGCTCAAATCAATTTCATGAACACTATTCTAGGACTTTGATTAATTTTCCGACAATACACTATCAAGATAGAATTAATAAAGGATATCAAAGTAATACATATACATAAATTGTATTCAGCTGGTCTTTTGCTTTAAAATCTAAGTCAGAAGGATGAATGTTGTGTTAAAAATAAAAAGATTAAATAAGTATAATTTGATGAAATGCATGAACAGCTGGAGATATCAGCTGTCTATATGACAGCAGAAAATATGGAGGATAAATGCTCGAAAGATAAAGTATCATGCACATAACATAGCTCTTGTCTTGATGATCTGAAGTAAGGGAATCACTGTGAATTTTAAAAAATACGACGAACACAGGTTAGTATGAATAAAAGTTTGATATGAAGAATTTCAAATCTAGTGCCAACTGGAAATCGCTCCAATCCTTTAGTAAATCAGATGTTTTGAAAATAATCGGACCATACTGAGTATGTGCATGTGTGTATGCTTGTGTTTATCATAATTATTATTATTGTTCCCTTGGGCTCCAAGTGGAACATAGGGCTTCAACTGCACGCCTCCACTAGCTTCTGTCTTCTGCTGTATTTTTCACCTGCATCCATGTGAGTTCATACTGTTTCAACTCGTCTTCACACGATCTCCTCCATGTCACCCTAGCATTGACGTCCCACTCACCGCTTCCCTTTCGGGTTCCACTCGACCTATGGCTTGACGCGCGATGTCACCCAGCGATGGCCTCCTTAGTGAGCGTCCAATCCATCTCCACATTCTCCTGCATATTTGTTGGGTGGTTGGTTCTTGCTTTGTTTGTCCCCATGGTTTCTTGTTGGTGATTCTTTCCGGTCATCTGATCTTCAGTATAGAGCGAAGACAGTTAGTTGTTGATAAAGGTCTGCAACAAGCTGTTGCAAATATTCTTTGTGACACACTAGCCAAGTTTCTGATCCGTATAGAAGAACTGACTGACTTGACGTTTGTATTGAAAATCCGAATTTTGTTGTTGATGCTGAGTTGAGTGACGAAGATTTTCAGATTGGTTTCAGGTTGATGAATGTGTTTCTTGCCTTCCCGATTCTCGATTTGACATCCTCGTCCGTTCCACCTGCCTGTAGTTGAGACAATGCTCCCTGGCTAGATAAGTGAATGAAGTAACCTCTTTCAAATCCCTCCCGTTGATGGTGATTGGCGGTGGATGTTGCTGTTGTTGTTGTTGTTGTTGTTGGTAGGTTGGTTATTTTCACAACCTCCGTCTTGTCTATGTTCACCTGGAGTCCTGTCTTCACCGGCTGCTTCTTCGACCAGTTTGTCGGTTTTCGCTTGTAGGTCTTCGATTTTGTGTGACATCAAACATAAATCATCCACGCGCGAAATTCAGGTCTTCTAGATTCTTCACGTCGGTCCAGGATATCCCTGTCTTCTCGTTTCCCACTTTCTGACGCATAATGCAGTCCACCCCTAATTTTTCTCAAACTTAAATCTATCTAGAACAGGCCTAAACGGTCTTTTACCGTCGGGGTGAGGTAGAATATCGCATTATAATCCATACAACCAATTAGTTATTTCATGGGGCTTAGTTTTCGGAGGCTTATAATATCTGTAGGTCGGTTGTTCTCATCGAATCACACTGGTCTCGCTTTCGTCTTTATTATTTGAGTCAGTTCAGGAGGATTAGACACGCAGATGAGTCCATTATTGCCATTCCATGGTGAATCCTATTTGCGTCATTATTAATAATGCTGGTTATATCACCCTTTATCAAACTTTAGTGACGTTATCGAACCCCAAACAGCAGTAAAAATTGTTCATCTGAAAAAAGCACACTTATTCTCGAGAATATTCATATTGACTGAAGCCTACCCCATAAAGTTTAAACAAGTTGTAAACAGAGAATCGTGTGCGTCAGTGGCATAGTGGTTAGGACGCTCGCCGACCATGCACATGGTCCGGGTTCGATCCCCGGCCACCGACGCACTCCTTTACTTCGCTAAGCCAGAAATAATGCTGGTGAAGAGGAAAGGTTGGGCATGAGGTTAGCAACCCTATCCCGTAAAATAAACACTGCTTACGAAACTTCAAGCCACTAGCTTGGAGCCCTATGCTCCAGTGGGGAACGTGAAGGAAAAAGAAAACAAAAACAAACAGAGAATCTGTGAAAAAAAATGAATGAATGGGAAACATGAATAAAATTCGCTTACTTGTAAGGGGATGGATTTTTTGGGGGTTTAGCATCTGCTGGTTCTAAATAATGCTTCTGCTCAAAATGGAATAGATTATCACTAGTCCTTTGAATAATTACAAGCGGGTAATTCATTTGTTTCATCCAAGTATCCATAACTGACTTGACATTCACTTCTTTGTTTACAGCTTCTGATGCCTAAAATTTCAGAAAACAATATTTTTCTTTTTTTCATTTGACAGTAAATAACAAAGTATCTGATGATATGCATTTTACAGAAGTGGTGATTTATCCTATGATACACAGCGGCCTTTTTTAAAAATTGGGCTAGCAAAACACTCCATCATTATATTTGCATATAATTTCTCTTGTTCAGTTTACCTCTAATGGTGTTTCCTACTCTCTTCAGTATTTTAAATACCAACGACCTGCTAAGTGCACCGGTGGCACAGCGGTTAGGATGCTCGCCGACAGTGCACATGGTCCGGGGTTCGATCCCCGACGGACGCACTCCTTTACCTCATTAAACCAGTAAAAGAACTGGAGAAGAGGGAAGGTTGGGCATGAGGCTAGCAACCCCATCCTGTAAAAATAAACACTGCTACACAAACTTCAAGTCTCTAGCTTGAAGCCCTATGTTCCACTGGGGAACAAGAAGGAAAAAAATTCAAAGTTTCTAAGAAAGTGATTCAAACACACACACACAATCGGGAAGACCGAAATTCAGCTTCAATGATTTTGATTTTGAAAACCACCTGCAAAATGGTCTTATTAAAAGAATTTATTCATCAGTAAAGTGCAATTATCAGGTCACTTCTTTCACATATCTATGGTTCATCGTTTTGAATGCAGGTGATAGCAACAATGGGGATGTCAAAGCCGGAATCGAAAGAGCAAGGCAAGCATTCATTCATTACTCTGAAATCAATGTGGAAGTCTGCTTCACTCAGCATAAGCAGCAACAACATTGGGATTTTCAACACCAATGCTAAATCAGTTCCTTTTTTTCTGGATCAGAAACTTGCCGGATCAGAAAATACATTTCTAACAGGCGATTACAGACTATTATCAACAGTTGCTGTCTTTATCAACTCTATACTGAAGATTAGATGGCTGATCAGAAAGAATCAGCGGTAAGAAACTATAGAAACGAACGAATCAAGAACCCACTGGTCAACAAATATCCCGAAGAAAATGGAAATCGATCAGGCACACTTTGATGACACCTTCGAATGATGTCATGTGCCAGCTAGGGTGTCTGTTGGAACCCGAATGGGAAACGATGAGTTGGATGTGTATCTGAGGGTGACACGGAGGAAATCAAATGCAGAGAGACTATGAGTAATCGGGAGGCCAGATGAAGAGAGCCAAAAGTCTGACTGGAATGAAGGTGTTTTGGTGAAATCCCAAATTCCACTCGGAACCCAAATTTTATTATTAATGTCTCCTTTATTTCTTAGAGGAACATAGGGCTTCAGCCGCACGTCTTCATTGCGTTCGGTTCTCCACCAACGTTTTCACCTGGCTCCAAGTCTGCCTACATGCTTTTATCTCCTCTTCACATCGCCTCCTCTATGTCAAACTTGGACGACCAACTTGCTGCTTCCCATTCAAGTTCTACTCGAGCAATGGCTTGTCTAGTGATGTCATTTGATGGTTTCCTCAGAGTCTGGCCAATCCAATCCACCCCCATTTCTTCCTGCCTATTTGTTTCACAGTCGGTTCCTGCTGAGTTGGTCCGCTCCAAGAGATCCCTCTCTGTTGCTGATCTTTTCTAGCCGGCCATCTGATCTTGAGTATTGAGCGAAGACAACTGTTAATGAAGGTATGTAGTTTGTTTCAGGTGCTCTTTATGACGCGCCAAGTCTTTGATCCATAAAGTAGCACTGACTTCACACTGTAGTTGAAAATCCGGATCTTATTCTTCATGCTGAGTGGTCTTAACCTCTACACAGACCTGAGTGTAATGAAAGCTTGCCTTGCTTTCTCGATTCTTGCTTTGACATCCTCGTCAGTTCCGCCGCCTGTAGTTGAAACGATGCTTCCCAGGTAGGTAAAAGAGGTAGTTTCTTTCAGACTTCTCCCATTTATGCTGGCTCATTGTTGTCTGTTGCTGTTCCTCGGGACCAGGAATCTTCATCACCTCTGTTTTCTCTATGTTCACCTGAAGGCCTGTCTTTGATGCTTCCTCTGCCAACTTGTTGCTTTTCACTTGCATATCTTCCGAAAGAAACCCAAAGGAACGATATGAATAATAGATCCCCGTTTAAATGTTCCCTCTGGATTTAACTCAACAATAAAGAATAAAATCATCTCTAGTTTATACTCATTTAACTAATAATAAATCGAACAATTTTTTCAAGATTCTATGAAAGACAGAAAATCACATGTTCTCCGAATATATTCAGTTTATTTATGTACCTAACAAGTCTTTATTCAGTGTGTACGAAGAATAATACAGCGATTCCAAGAGATGAACGCTTATATAAGTAGTAGGAATTGGATGTTGTAAAATCGAATGTCTTTGATGCCATGGTAAATAAAACAAATATTTAATAAAGCACACTACCTACCCTTTGTTGTTATAATAAATACACAAAAAGAGAACGAAAAAGGCATGTATGCAAAAAAAAACACCAACGCCTGGTCTGAGATCTGAAACCGTAATCAGTTTTAGTCGTTGTAATCACATTCACTTTAGACGTTGAACTCGCAGAAAAACAAAATAGCGAAAAGTCACTTTTAAGTTTGAAAGTGAATAAATTAAAAAACATGTACATTGACGCCTACGATTCATTTAATTTACAAAGAGTAGAAACGAAACTCTGTTTACAGATCTAGTTAATATAATGCACAAAAATACTCCGTGTAACTCAGGATTGGAACTCACAATACTAATTAATTCAGACAGTGTAGTAGACGATTAGAATGGCTAATGACTATATCATTACTCATAATAGTATTAATGAGAAAAAAGGCTGGAACAATATTTTGTGCAGAATAGGATGGTACCATCATTTGTTTCGTTGACTTCACATCAACTGCATACAGCCTGCTAATGTTACGAGATGTCAGTTAATGTAAAGAGACTCCATACTTTATGAACCGATCTCAGAAATTACACTTACTATAGTTTATCCCCAGAAAGTTGAAGTTTAAACAAATATTAGAGACTTGCATTAATGGCAAACGAGTTACGTCAATTATTATATTATTATTATTATTATTAATCCCTTGGATTCCGAGTGGAACATAGGGCTTCAACAATACATCTCCACTTTGTCCTATCTTCTGCTGTCCTCTTCAGCTTGGACCACAGTTGCCCACAACCTCTCATCTCCTCCTCACACGATTTCCTCCATGTCACAATCGCAATGACCCAATTGTCTCTTTTCGCTGGGATTACACTCGAGCACTGGCCTGGTGTGCGATGTCATTCAACGGTCTCCTCAATGTATTCCTGATCCATCTCCATTTTCTTCTGTATATTTGTTGGGCGATCGGCTGTTGTCGGTTGTTTTGCTCCTACAGTTTCTTGTTACTTATTATTCTTTCTGTCCATTTGATCTTCAGTATGGAGCCAGTGAAGTGGGTAGGTGTTGATGAAAGTCTGCAACCCGCTGGAAATCCTCTTCGTGACAAGCAGTGCAAGTCTCTGACTCGTATAGAAGAACTAACTTCACATTGGTGTTGAAAATGCGAATCCTGTTCCCTATGCCGGGTGTAGAAGATTCCCAAACTCGTTTCAGGTTGAGGAAGGCGTACGTTTCTTGTCTTTCCGATTCTGGGTAGCTGACTTTGATATCTTCATCCGTTCCGCCTGTAATTAAAACGATGCTTCCCTCTGTTAAAGCTCTCGCGTTGATGGTGACTGGTGCTGGTTGTTGTTGTTGTTAGTTGGTTATCTTGATAACATCCGTCTTCTCTATGTTCACCCGGAGTCCTGTCTTCTCTGGCTGCCTCTTCAGCCAGTTTTTTGGTTTTCGCCTGCATGAAAGTCTTCAAGTTTGTGTAACATTAAACATAAATCATCCACATGCGAAATCCAGATCTTCAGGAGTCTTGTCATCGGTGGTCCAGCGTACCCCTGTCTCCTCGCTCCCTGTGCTCAGTTTGACGCATAATCCAGTCCTCCACAATTAAGAATTGTGGATGGAAGATGATTGTGTCTCCAAGGATCAATTTACCGAAAGCTTACATGTAGTGGACAATACTTATATTTTTAAAGGTTTTGTCCAAATAGCTATAAACGAACATTCTTCAATACCCTGTTTCTTGGAGTCGGGAGAATATGCTCTTTCCAAAAAAAAACTGGAGGAAACATTTCTCACTCTCGAAAAGATGTTGTAAAACAACGGTTACTTTCAGAAATTTATTAACAAGCACGGAAGATGTGAAGGCTCCAGCGACAAAAACATCACAGTGGAAGAGAAGCCTATCTTCATTTCAGAGACGATAATATTGCAGGATTATGTAAACAGAAGACTGAATACGTCACTAGCCAGTGCTCCTGTCCCGCTTGTCGGTGCAATCCAAGGACGACAGATAGCCTTCTCAAGTGAACTCTAACTGTGCATACAAATTAACATGTGTATATGAGGAAGTAGTTGCATTGGGAGAATATAAAGAGGGGCAAACCTTTACTTTTCTGAACGTTCACCGAAAAGCCTATTTCTTGAGGAGATAAACGTTAACAGCGGTGCCATTGCCAGACATTTTGTTTAAACTTGTAATATGTGGGTACGAAATAAGTAAATGTAATATGTGATCACTGTTTATTAAGTTTAGAGTCCGCTGTCATTAACTGACATCATTTAACATTAGCAGGCTGTATGCAGTTGTGCTGTGAAGTCGACGAGGCGAATCATGACACCATATTTTTATTCTGGACAAATTGTTATTCACTACCAGGAATAAGTGTTTGAAATTAATGGAAAAAAGTTGTTGCGAAAAGAAAGGAAGCGTCTATTTATTACTAATGAATAAACACATGCAAATATATTCACCATTTTTTTTAAAAATATACAATATGAAAAGTCACATAAATTCATTAGTGTTAATCAGATTTCAATAAAAATAATTTCAGTATGATACAATTGAATTAATCTGTAAAAACTCTAGTGGAAATACAGGAAAGATGTTAAAAAACTGACTAGGTTATCCAAAGGGGTGTAAATTTCAAATTTGATGTAACACTT